ACCGCGTCAGATGATATGACAATGGCGAGAGTGTGTCGAAAGGGTCCTCGACGTAATCAGCCCAGATCTCTCGTTAATGCTTGGTGAACACCAAGTGCTCTTTCCGTTGAAGGATAACTTCAGCATTGCACCATGCTGCTGGCTTTGATTTGATCATGCATTTGTCCACCAGAGGTGGAAGGTGTTTTAGGTGAAATCGTATGAGCTCCATGAGATGTTCGGTCTTTAGGGGGCTGTCTCTCCTGCTGAAGTGGTCAGCCAAAGGTTGTCGCAGAGCGTAAATCGCACGTTGTTGTGAAACGGAGGTGAAGAATGAAACGACATCAAAATATAACATGGATTCATCTGGTTCTACTTCCAGATTTTCTTAACGTTCAAGGGACTGATTAGCAGAGGCCACTGTTATTGGCGAACCTTCTGCCAGGAACTAAAGACGAGCAAACATCCCGTTTGCCAAACCGTATGTAGGGGTGCCACGTAGGGAGATGATGTGCCTAAACGGTATGTTCGGTTTGCGTGCTTATGGCAGAGTCAGAGGGTTTCATAAGAAACCAATCTCTGGCGGTGATTGCGCCATTTGCTCTGAATTTTGCCGGGCTTTTGCTTACTTGGGTAAGCAGACTAGGCAGCTCACTGCATGACAAGGTTTACAAGGCTGTGGATTGTCGAGTAAGCTCAACGCTTTCATCCAATAGTCAGATTTGTCAAGCACTAAGTTAGAATGGCCTTTATCAGCCGAAAAGATAATAATGTCTTTATTTGCTTTCAGGCTGTTAATGTTTGCTGTTTTTCTTTGCTGAGAGTTTCAATCTTCTTGTACTGCACAAACAAAGATGGGCTTTTGTGGCGGATCAACTCTTTTGTCTCTTCCGACGTTTGTGTACGCTGAGAAACAGATTCAAAAACAACAATGAACTCTGGGGATGCAGCGTCTGTTTTGCTGAAAAATACTGCATGTCTCAGGACAGCCAGTGGCGTGCTAGTGACGGATGAAGATAAAGGATTGTGATCAGGGTCGTCGGAGAAGTTATATGAGCAAACTGGTCTTCATATGGCCAATTCTACGGATAATTTGTTGCCCCTTTTTGGCACGTTCCTTTCGAGAATGACTGAGAATGGCTTCACAGAGGGACAACAGTGAGAGTAAGTGCTCTGAGCGCTACAACCATCAGGTCGAATCTCAAGTCGTAAGGAGCACACAAAAGGCACCAGAATGAGAGGTTTATTGTGCACAGAACACGGAGGTGGCCTCTCAGGCGAAGCCAGCTGGTGTGAACTGCGCCCAGTCGCGCCTGAGAGTCCCTGAGATAGTTGTGGCAATGCTTTTGTAGGCCTGTGGGCCAAGCTCAAGTGGTGTATAATTAGCGTGTGTTGAATTTGCCCAGGGAGGTGCCGCAGTTACTTGATTTGCTGGTGGTCGCGATTGGCGCGTTCAAGTGGCGCATGGGTAATCCTGACGCTGTGTAGACGCAATTGTGTCCGAGCCGAAGTCAGTCGATTGCCTTCAGGTCAACGCGTCTGGCACAGCTGTCTGCGAGGGGTGAATGGCCTTGACAAGTTCTCGATCTTCTGCTTTATAAATAATCCTTTGGCGTTTATGTTGGAGGCGTTAAGTCGACACGTGTTGTCGCATGACGTTTTTGCTCTCCTCGCCTGCCTCACACTTCTGGAGCGCCGATTAGAAGGATGCAATAAAGTCTTTTCGTCGAGCATCTCTTGTGGTGAACGTTGCGTCATAGGTTAGAATGGCTAGTTGTTGCTGAGTGAAACGATGGGAGGACAAGTTGTGAACCAAGACGCCGTCAGTGGAGGACTGCTTTGGCAGACTTATTTTCTCAAATTTTACAGACAACTGGTCATCACGCAATTTGCGGTGATGCAGTGCACTGTTAAAAATGGCCGTTTTGAGGATTTCCAGCTCGTGTGCCTAAACGGTATGTTCGGTTTGTGCACTTATGGCAGACCGTAAAACCGAGCGGTGGCAGAGTCAGGGGGATTCATAAGAAACCAATCTCTGGCTGTGATTGCGCCATTTGCTCTGAGTTTTGCCAGTCTTTTGCTGACTTGAGTAAGCAGATTTGAAGTCTCAGTGCTTGACAAGGTTTATACGTCTGTTGATAGTCGAGTAAGCTCAACGCTTACATCCAGTAGTCAGATTTGTCAAGCACTAATGTGGACTGGATGAAAATGTCTTTATTCGCTTTCAGTCTGTAATGGTTGCTGTTTTTGTTTGCTGAGAGATTCGATCTTCTTGTGCTGCATAAACAAAGATGAGCTTTTCGTCTCTTCTGACGTTTGTGTATGTTGAGGAACAGATTCGAAAGCAACAATGAACTCTGGGGTTGTAGCGTATGTTTTGCTGAAAGTGGCTGCATGTCCCAGGACAGCACGTTGTTTGCTAGTGACGGATTTAAATAAAGGGTTGTGGATAGGGTCATCGGAGGAGTTATCTGAGCAAACTGGTCTCCGTTAGGACAGTTCTACGGATAATTTTTTGCCCCTTTTGCACGTTCCATTCGAGCATGATTGATAATGGCTTTGCAGTGGCACAGCAGTTAGAGTAAGTGCTCTGAGCACTACAACCTTCAGATCGAATGTCAAGTCGTAAGGAGCACACAAAAGGCACCAGAATGAGAGGTTTCTTGTGCACAGAACACGAAGGTGGCCTCTCAGGCGAAGCCAGCTGGTGTGAACTGCGCCCAGTCGTGCCTGAGAGTCCCTGAGATAGTTGTGGCACTGTTTTTGTAGGCCCGTGGGCCAAGCTGACGTTGCGTGTGTGTCGCATTTGCCCAGGGGAGGTGTCACAGTTACTTGATTTGCTGGTTGCCGTGATTGGCGCGTTCAAGTGGCGCATGGGTAACCGCGACGCTGTGTAGACGTAATTGTGTCCGAGCCGAAGTCAGTCGATTGCCTTCAGGTCAACGCGTCTGGCACGGCTCGCTGCGAGGGGTGAATGACCATGCGACAGGGAGGTCTTCGACAATGACTCCAGATCGGTCATGTTGGCTGGCCGCCGCAGATTTCTGAATATCCTCCGATCCTTCACCAGTAGTTGCCTCGAAATAAGCCTTAAATTGATAAATTTCTAGGCTATGACGTAGCAGACCTTGGCGACAATCATGAATAAGTACTCTAAACATTCTTCTGCTGCCTCGCCTCGCAATCTCTCTAGTCAATGTTGAATCCAGAGGTAATTGAGAAGTGACGCATTTTGGAGTCAGTTATTGGTCAAAACACCAATGATGGAAGTGGCACTGCCCCGTTGTTGACGCAGTCAGTGACACGAATTCTTTCACAACAACGTGCTGCATCAAGCACTGGTGGCTAGTAACTCGAGCTGGGGTTTGCAAACGTGAGATATCAAGGTCGGTAATCTGAGAAACGTGAGGTGCCCTCAAGATCAAGGGATTACCTTTTCGGCCAAGTCCCCCGAACCGTCAGCAATGCAATCCGCCGGATGCCATGAACATTTAACTTTTTCCCAGATTATCGACCCGATATCTTACGTGTGCTAGCCTGAGTAAACATAACATTTTGCTTCGGCAACATTGGGACTTTGCCATACTTCGTGAAGTCCTCGAACTCACTTAAACTGTTCTCAGATATAATGTTAGTACAAGCAAGTATGACAGTTCTAGGAAGTAGTTGCTCAGAAGAAGAAGAGGTAAACGCTGGGACAAGGGCTTTATTCGCCTGACGTTTCGGATTCTCACTTGACCCCACCATCGGAGACAGTGGCAGACAAGGGTGACTCGTGCACAGGAAGTTGTAGTATTTATAGGATGCAGTCGATATGCTACCCGCATACCTATAGCAATCGACCGCGCTCCCCCTTCATCAAGGATGGCTGCGCGCTGGTGCGCTAATCGCTTGCTGGACGGCATTCAAGTTGTTTATCGCTGAAATCTCATCATCCGTGTTGGAAGCTGGCGTAATGATTGGTAGACCATCTGGCTCACCGGATTGCACGCTCCCCAAGTGGTCAAGTTATTTGGCCAGTCTATGCCCCAGCACGAAATATGGAATGGGGATGTGGCTACGTTTGTTGATAGACTGAAGTCCCGTGAGACATAACTCAAACAACTCGCGGCTCACGCGATTATCCCCTCTCGCGAGAATTTCGGCCTCATCGAACTTGAATGTGTTGCCGCGTCTCGTCGAATGGGCAGCGACCTGAGAGTTGGTGTCATTTCTTCGTACAGCTGCCGCGTGTTCGGCGATTCGCGTCCGGAGCGGTCTTCCAGTTTCTCCGACGTAGTTGCTTTTTCCGCAACTGCACCAGATCCGGTAAACCACTCCAGATGTTTCTTGCCGTGGCAGTGGGTCTTTAGGTCTCATCACTTCACGCCTCATGGTGGACTCCGGTCTGTGCGCAACTCCAACCCCAAGTGGTGCAAGAAGGCGGCTAACGTTCTTGATGTACGGGATCGCTCGCCAGAATTTGGGGCCGGCGTGATTTTGTCGCTCGTCTCGTTTGCGCAGGCACTGGTTGACGAAGTTGCGCGGGTAACCGTTTTCTCGGAAAACCCGTCGAAGATATTGGGATTCGGCAACCTTGTCTTCCGGTTAACTGCAGTGCGTCTGAACAGGCTGATAAAGCGTTCTTACGAAACTGAATTTGTGACTGATTGGGCGGTTACCGTTTAAGTGCAGTATTTGCGTCGTGTGCGTCGGTTTTCTGAACACTTTGGTCTTTAGGATGACAAAATCGTTGCGACAGACGAGCACATCAAGGAATGCCAGCTGGTTATGTTCTTCCTGCTCCATCGTAAATTGTATGTCCGGGAAAACGTTCTTGAGACGTTTTTCAACGTTGGCATCTGATCCCATTCGATGTTGACGAAGGTATCGTCCACGTAGGTAGCCCTGAATTTCGGTCTGTGGTGTTGGAAGACAAACGACTCCAACCGCTGTAGGGCCGCCTCAACGATGAATCTTGAGATCGGCGCGCCCATTGGTGATCCCTTCACTTGCCCTTAGATTGTTCCGTCAAACTTGAACTACGTTCTGAGGCAGAATTTTAGGAGCTGAATGCCTTTGGTATGTCCGAGACGATTCCCCGTTTCATTGTTTTTGATTCGTAGGAGTAGCTCAACGGCCTCGATTGCCAGATCCTGAGGGATATAAGTAAAGAGGGACGTGACATCAAAAGATACCATGACCTTATTTGGCAAGAGACTTACTCCTTCAAGATTCTCCAGGATTTGTCTTGAGGAACAGACGGTGGTGTCCGAATCAGCTGTCGGAAATGTGAGGCGCCGAAGCAGCCATCTTGCCAGTCCGTACGTTGGAGTGCCTTTGAGCGATACAATGGGCCGGAGAGGATCGCCCTCCTTGTGCACCTTGGAGAGACCATAGAATCGGGCCAAGACCATTTCTTTGACTATCGGCATGCGTCGGTCGGTTGATGTTATTGCACCCGACTTCTCCAATGTCAACGGTGTCGCAGTAATTTCGCGCGTCAGCGTTTTTTACGGGATCAGTTTCACATGGGACATAAAACTGGCGACCCCCCAGTAGGTTTTTGGCCTCCTGTAGGCAGTCTGTTCTGTCCAGTAGGACTATGGAACGCCCCTTGTCCGCGGGCACGATGACGATGTCCTTGTCGGCCTTGAGTTCTCCTAGTGCATCGCGTTTGACCTTCGGGAGTAATTCCCGTGGCTTGTGAGTCGTAAGGTGTTACGCTACTTGATGTCGGATAAGGTTATTCGTGTCCTCCGTCGCTTCCGTCTAATTAATGACCGATTCCACTACTGCAATCATGTTGACAGCTTTGGCGTCAGATGTGTTGAATGAGGCTTCGTGCCGTAAAACCTGTACTTGCTCCTTCGTCAGTGCCTTTGTCGAAATGTTGTGCACCAGTGTGCCGCCTCTGGATGACGTTGGATCAGGCAGTTTTTGGAAGTTGTTCCCCAGTGCTGCATCGCGTGTTGCTCTCCGCTCGCGAGCTCGTTCAAGCAATTAGCGCAACAGCGGTCAGCCATCCTTGATGAAGGGGAGCTTGGTTAATTGCTATAGGCATGCCGGTAGCATAGCGACTGCATCCTATAAATACTGCAACTTCCTGTGCACGACTCACCCTTGTCTGCCACTGTCTCCGATGGTGGGTTCAAGTGAGAATCCGAAACGTCAGGCGAATAGAGCCCTTGTTCCAGCGATCGCTTCCTCTTCTTCTTCTTCTTCTGATCTGTAATTTTAGTGTTTCCTGAAGGAAACCTACATTCTTGCTATTCCTATGAATTGCCTAATAGAGAAATTTCGTTATTTAAAATGAAATTGTATTTACAGATTGAGCGTAGGTGTGTGGTCGCTAGGTTCTAAATGGACCATGCTGGAAGATCAATTCTGCACCAAACCAAACAATTATATGCTAATTAAAATTTTCTCAAAAATCGTCTGACATGTGAAGTTTAGTAATTATCGTTATTAAATAAGAGTAAAGACATCATTTGGCCCTGTATTTTATCCACTGCGGAATATTGGAACATTATTTGTCTTGTCATTCCAACATGCTGTCACAGGAATGGGTCCTGTTTACTTATGTGGTGAGATCTGTCGCCTCTGTCAATCATATGAACTTAAGGAGGTTTCAATACACTTGGCGCGAACTTTGAGCATTCGGTGTGTGTTGGTAGCTTAGTGTTCAAAACCGAACCGAGAGCCCGCTCGTCGCTACGTCAGAGACATCTAACCTAAATTGAACGATGCGTGGAAGTTTTTGGGGAATAGAGGACAGTTAGCACGCTGACGTCTTGTAGATAGTAGTCCGCCTCAAATCAGCGGATGAATCAAAAGGCATTGCACAAGGCATCTCATCGAGCAATTTTAACTCGACCACCGGACTGGTGTCTCTCAGAAAAAAAAGAGGTCTTCCTGACACGTTCGACAGACTACAGAACATTATTTAATCATAAGCATGCATGCACGCTACTCGCACTGCGTAATACGTCCTTTAGATAGGCACATTTGTTCTGCTTAAATTATACAACTTTAGAGAGCAATTCGTGCTTTCTACTAGTTCCGCCAACAAACTCACACAAAAGGGGGCTGCATTCACAAATGACCCCAATTTAGTTGAGGACGGACAACACAGGAGGACACCAATATCCACAGACGACGATCAGAATGCCAAGGCAGCGAAAAACAAAAAGGACGATTTCCCTGAGGCCAACTAAGTAGGTCGTTTATTTAAAATTCTGGTCGATTTTTGCACGAGACGCTCTCATAATGGAGAGACGGCCAAGTTCTCCACAAGATCAGCAATGCTATTTCTTTGATCCCGCGAGCGCTTCATTTTGCGCAGCATATTATATTTGTTTTAAGCTCGGAACGGAAGTAAAATGCGCACGATTAATTGAAGCAGAGAGCACTAGATCCTTCATACAGCGATTGAATACCAAACCCTATTACTAAGATGGCTTTGATCCATGTTGCAAGTATCTGGAATTAAAACGCACAACTCCCTTCTCAAGTGACAGCAGCGTATTGAAAGCGGCTGAAATACAGTTGCCCACGTCCTCGATAGATTGAATTGCATTAAGGCTTCTGTTTGCTTGTAGGTTCCTAATATCGCAGCCACAGCATGTGTCAAGTCAGCATATGAGCAATTGGGTTAACACGGTCGAGGTATTTTGATATTTTTGAAAGCGACGAAGGTATCTTAGAGTGCATCAGCAAACGAATGCCGCAAATTGTACATCTGGCCAAATACTGTCATTCTTCCTTATTATGAATATTGCCTCCGGTCTTTTTGGCTGTGTCTTGACACTGGATCCGAGTGTAAATGAGGAATGGGGTAGATGCTGCGTATGTCTAAGCTTACTGTTAACTAATTCACCCCCCAGTCACCATGCCTGAGTCAATTTGATATGGAGTACACAGTGGACATCAACGTTTGCAACGGATGAACAGTCGTTCCAATCTCATCAACGTCCAACCCAGTTTATTGAACCAATACAGCAGGAATGAAGATAACTTTGCACTCAGGGCTATATTAAGCAATCTTGACTTCCCCAAAAGAATTTACCTTTGTGGATTATATAACGCGCAGCTGTCTTTAACCCATAAATACATGCTTGGACATAATCTGCTTTAGCATCGACGAATCCCTAGTATCCTCAAGCTTTCACATAATTTAAAATGACAGTCGATTTTCTTTGTTTATATCCTCCCTCAGTAAGCAAACGCTGTTTGCTTTTAAACCTAGGAAATATATCATGACCACGATAAGTCACACTATTTCTCACATTGCAGAAAAGAAGCATTCAGACCAGAATGCATAGGTTTACCGAGGAAACGCTTTTTATGAAACCCAGATCATCCATCCAGCACAAGCTATCACGGAAAATGGATTCAGACTTCGCAGTTGTTGTTACATTTTAAATACGTTAACGGGGTATTTAAACAGTTTGAAGGTGATCCGCATGACGAATCAACATCAGCAACATTTGCTTGCAGTCTTGTCGTTTCTTGATATCTCCGTCGCATCGACCGTCAGGTCAGGATGTGTAGTATCGGTTTCTGGGGAGGACGCCGTCTAGCAATTTGGGAAAATACGGAACTCTCCAAGAGTCCTCCCAATAATAGGACGCCCGCATATTATGCATTTAGACACTTACTAATGTTTATTTGAATTATGAAAATTTCCAATATCGGGAAAGACAAGACCACGCATAAAACACAAAAATAAATTTTACTCATTACTGCATAGTCTCTCCTTCTCTTTTCTATGTATCAGTATGCTATGCACTGGCTGGACACATTAGTGAAGTAATCGAAGTTGTTAAGGGTAACTAAAGACAGTTCACCGAGGGGCTTGTGCACAAAACCACACAGCCGACATTCTGTCCTTGTTTCCGTCTAAAACACAAGTAAACTAATGCGTCATGGTTTCAGGAAGAGGTGAGTATCAATCGTTCCCTGTGAGAGAAAAAAAGACAGAGTTACCTGAATAAGCATGCACGTAAGAACCCTGTCATCGATAGATCGCGCAACATGTGAAATCTGATTGAACCAATCGGGATTACGAGCTAGTGCTCACCTCTAACAGGCAACATACTCAACAGGTCTTCAACAAGACAATGTACCGACAAAGACAGGGGCATCAAGCCCGGTTGGTCTGTATCTAACACCCCAGCCCAAATTGCGTGTGAACAAAGGCGACTATTCCGTATGACCTCCGTTGACCGCTCTGTTGTCTTTGCTGAGAGGTCTCAGCAATATCCGTTGACTCGGTCACACCGTTGTTTGATTGGTCTGCATGCGATATTTCCCATTTGATGGGCATCCAAGATGGACACCTGGCTCAGTAATTTTTTCCAATTCGAGGATGTTACCTAAAAGCTACAATATTTAGCTACAGGGAATGGCCGTAGCAAGAAATCCGGTACCACCCACTGTAGTAAAATAAATCTCCTCACTCGACCAGGCGTCCGTATCTGTGCTGTAATTGTGGGTTGCCAAAACTTGTGTAAGTCAAAATACTAAAATCTCTTGTGTTAATTCTCATATCATGCAACATTTGTTCGGAGGCAATTACAACGTCGAAGACCAATGATGAAGAAATTCTACTTCACCCGTTGCATTCTAATTCTGGATTATTATAGTCATCGGGGAATATTTAAATCATTAGCCTAGTACTGATGTTTAGAAAAAACCGCAGTCGGAGTGCAAAGGCCTCCTCGTTTTCTTAAAAAGGAAGAGAAGTGCATGATTTTACAGTTAGTTGTTTGAACTCACGTAAGCACGTGTAGCGGCAGGACAAATTTAGGGCCGGAATTGCAAATACCTTAAAAACGATAACGACATTAAATTGTGTAAGTACCAAATTCGCAGAAGGAATGACAGAATACTTTTTTTCATAATTTCTGTAAAATACATCTACATATGTAAAAATTTCACAAATCGGTGGGAAAATTCATGCTAGTAATAGATTTTTTTCTAAAAATATGATAGCCTAGACATGCGGTAATTTTGATGCTTGTTTAAAAGCAGACTTCCTGACGTGGTCAGAATATCTAAATACTCTGCCTGATGACGATTTATTCGAAAATCCTAATTAAGTACTCTAATGCCAACGGAGAACGCGGCTTATATGTTTGGTTAATATTTTCTGCATATCCCCAGTATAGTCCTCTTTATACAGCACATGGATTCGTACGTCCGTCGTGCTATGCCATGTTTAACAAACCATGTTTTCAATACCATTTGGTGCGTCCTATGCCTTCATGGGATTTTTGTCCTGGTATTTTTTATAAAATAACTTTTAAATACAGAAGTGATAGGATTTGCTTAAAAACCCGTTCAGTCGTTTACACATTGCACCAAATCAAATGCACGTCACACACCAGAAAGATCGATGGACTAAGGTGTGATGGAAAATATGTCTTTTAGCCATCTAAGACAAGAACTGCCTAATTGCACGAAGTAATATTTTCGGGTCGTGCGCGACAAACGCAACTACCTTTGAACGTTCAACACAGTTCCGCTTAATGTTCTTACCACAATCTTCCCGTATTCTTGCCAAGCAAAGTAAGATGCGTAAGCAGTGTCGTTTCGGTCGAGCCAAATAAGATAGTCAGCCAAGTCGGCAGGAGATGAAAAGTCATCTACGTGAATGAAGGAATTTGGCGGTGCCATGGCACAGTAACTCGATCTCGGCGCACCCATCACCACTGGCAGCATGCTGTACCTTTGAGAAGACAAAAATAACATTTGCCAGGGTTAAGGTCTGTCTGACAGTAAGGCGTGAGTGAGTCATTCAGTGTCAAATTGCAGAAACAAAGAAATTTTGCGGCGACAGTTTAGGTTCAAAGCGCAGTTAAGACTGCTTGATTAAATAGGTAGCGCAATAATGCAAATATTTAATGAAAACTATTGGGATGAATTTGCCTAGGTGCCTTCTGATATTATAACATCCATTAAAACAATGACTTATAACGATATTGCACGCGCACTAAACCTCCACGTGCCATGTGTTCAGTAAAATATCGCCTAACCTCAATATCAAGGGTATGGAAACGGTGGCAAGATTAAGCAGACGTTATCAACTAAATGGGCCTTTCGTTGCGATGGTTCCAGAAACTTGGTGACTGGCTGCTAACAGTTTGCATACTACACGCAATTGAAACTGCTTGGACTGTAAACTAGTGGGGAAATAGTTAGACCAAATGAAAAGTACTAGGGTGTATTTAACTGTGTGACAGCTGGCATAAATACTACTACCGGTACTATTAATTTAACCGTCGCTGAGACAGGTAATGGGATGCCAGCTTTAATCCTCAATGTTGTGCGATGACGCAGCATGCTTCGGCAGCCTTCTTCTACTAGCTTCACACAAGGCAATCCTTCATGGCGATATACGTAGGCTTCAGTCTTTTGGCAAGCAAGACTCTGAGACATAGGCTTAGAATATGCCAATCTGATGTTTTATTCGATGTGCTCCTTCACACTAAAAGTCGCCAAAGGAATAAAGATCTTTTCTGACTGGTCAGAGCTGCTCCTTCTCTAGAAGGAATACAGGTGGTGATTCCATTGCTGCGCTGTCCGTTTGGCTGTAGAAATGGCCATCGAATCTGATTTACAAATTGGACATACAGCGAAACAGCGGAATGTTAGTGGGATTTGACGAGTATACTTTTAAATTGTCCCTTAAACGCTGCTCTCACACGCACGTAACCAGCCGGTGGGATGAGACTGGTTTTCTTAAGCGCCCCCTCTCTTTGCCTTGAAGGCTAGGACAGACTGCCCCTTCAGACCTCATCAATGTGCACATACACCCCCACTCGAACCTGAACAGCAGGTTATATTGATCGAAATATCAAGCTACTATCCAAGCGGATGCGAGAACACCATCCTGTCTGGTTTAAACGAGATGAGGAAAAGTTCATCTCCAGCGCAATTATGAACCAGTTGGTTGACAGCGGCCGCCAGGTTAGACGCCACCCAAACATTCCGAGTTATCCATAAAGTGTCGGCGAGACGCTGTAAGTTCCTATGTCAGCGGTTACGCGCGACGCCAGAGGCAGTGACCATACGATTTGTCAACCCAAATGTGTGCTCGTTTAAAACCCTTGTACATGCGCAATGGGCTGCCCTTGACAGAGACGAACCCAGCGTTTGCGTTCACACTTTTCGATACGTCACGTCGGAGGGGTGAGACAGAGACATAGCTAATTGTCAGCCCCTTTTTCACTTCCCTACCTAAGCCACTGACAGAATTAGAATCTGGACCCGGACCTCTGAACGCCCTCAGCTTCCTCCTACGAACTTATTTTATTGGCTGTTAACATATTACTATTCAACCTTCCCTTAGTGTAAACTGCAGGTCTGATAATGAATAATCGAAAGCGTACATCAGTCGGGTTGACTGTAATGTTAACGATTCATCTAGTTTGTGCTAGCAAAATTCGTGGTTGCTGGAAAGCGTGCTTTTGTCAAGATATAAATTGCATGATGCGGATTCTACTTTTTCACCAGAATGTGTGAACGAATATAATGTAGAGTTATTGAACGTTCGTCTACAGAACCACGTTAGCTTACATTAGAGCGTTGATAAACAGCTTCTCGGTGATGTAATCCTTGCAATCGGAGTTTTCGAATGCGAGATAAAATTTATACTGTAGCGAAAGTTGTCGAAGACAGATGTCACCATCCGGCGGGCAGTAACGCCGTCCAGGTCCGTAGACATCCACCTAAATAAAACAAGAGTTTACGGAGACAAAGTTTTCTGTTGTTTTTCATAAAATGCCTACACTGTCTACCTAGTAAGTCCATTGTGCTGAAGAGAGATAAAAATAGAAGTCCCTCACGACAAGGAGATCCATGTTTTGCAAATGTCTACCTAGAAATCATTTCCAATAAATCGCATGCTCTACCAGACTCTGAGAAGTACTGTTTAGGCTTCTGAGGTTGGATTGCTTAGTGATTTTCTTCCAACCCAATGCGTAAAAATTTGCGGTTGAATTTCATTTTCTGTATTCGGAATTCTTTATAAATTCCAAAATGCTACATTTTATCCAAATTTCCGACGAACGAAAATTTGTCTTTTGCAATTACTATGCGGAATTTTATATTTCCTTGGATTGACTAACGTATTAAGTTACAGAGTTCAACATCCTTCTTACTAACTTCACTCCACCAGACAATGTTTTTTAGAACCTGCTGTTTAAATAACGAAAGCTTATACTTCACAATTCGCAAAATGTTTTCATTTTATAGTCGTTTCTTTAAAAATACATTATTTTCGAACTTTCATATTTCAGGGAAGTGTACTTTTCGGTGATTACTAAAAAGTCGCTGTAGCAATTATTTTTTTATTTTCCAAACCTTACCTGTTGCCTCAAATGCGCCACGATCCACGGCATGTTAAATGCGATTCCCCAGATTCCAATGTTCACGTTTATTTGTTGGGCTTTGGCAGCACAATCACTAAGGGATTCTGTGTGAAAACCGCCAGGGCGGCATCGCGATATTTCAAAAAATCTGCGGAGAAATCGCAGTAATTTGTGCAACCTTTGGAGGACGAACTGTGCCAGAGAAATCTGTTGTCGTAGAAGATGAGTGGGCCCTCCTTTTCTATTATCTTTTTACAGATAAAATAATTTCATTTCTACGCAAATCGACAGTGGTGGCTGTTAGCCGAGAATCCTATAACAAGCCACAGCCCCTAGATTCGAAGCAGCGAACTATCCGTTCGTTATCGTAATACGTGTTAAGCTTATCCCCTGCAAACGATCATGTTGGAAAGTTCAAAGGTTAGACTGCTTGAGACACTGAATGTCATTGCATGTACTTTTACTTTCAAGGTACACAGACGTGCATGTATGCTTCTGATGTTCGAGTGCCCAGTGCTTTTCGTCCACATCAATGCATGAAATTTTGCGAAATTTCATTTCCGGAAGTCGAAATTTTTTGTTACTTCCCAAACGCGATTGCTTTTTTTCCAAATGGCTGGCAAACCCGCATTTATTTTATGCCTTTATTATGTTCACTTTTAGGTTTCCCTATTCGGTTTAAACTATTAGATTATTGAATTCGGCGTTCTTTAAAGCCAAATAGTATGATAGACCCATCTTTCAAAATTAACGCATTGAAAAGACTGCTGTACTTGTCCACTTGCTCAACAAAACAGCGACTTCCACTCACGTCGATGTATTTGGCAAGTCCTTCAATATATTCCATTCTTCTGTTTCTGGGGTTTTTGTTCGAAATTAAGGCAACGACCTTTTTTCTGCGTCCAGTATGGTGCGCTGGCAACCAGCGTAGATTCTTCTCGGTCAGCATGCGAATTTGCCGTTGCGGTGAAATCGTCTTATCCGGTTCGTCGTTTGCCACAAACACCGCATAAACCCAGGGAACGTGGGAATCAGATTTAGTAGTCAGAAATATTTTGAACTAAAAATGAATAAAAAAGCGTCCATTAGTTTTGAAGATTGTTGACGCCGGCACATCATTGAATGCACATTCCCAGTAGCTGACGTCCGTGTACACTTCTCTGCTGGTCCGACCCTACACAAGGAAAATACAAGGACAAAATGCCAGCCCAGACCATTCCATGTGCATCTACGCCTTCACCTGCCCCTGTGGGGCAGAATATATTAGTCGCACGAGCCAGGGTTTGTCCAAAAGAATATGAGCACATCTTCCAGCAGGGTGAGGAAACGGCCGCATAAAGAACGTCAACATGTTTATCCTCGCTCACATGGCAGACAGAGATCACTGGGTACATGCCGGACAGTCATTCCGAGTGATTTACAAGGTGCCGTGGAGATATCCAAAATCACGTGGACAGTGTCCGTTGGTAACGGCAGAGGCGGCTGCAATTAAGCTATACCTACCATTTTTATGCGCAAAAAAGGAGTTCATACAGGCCCCACAGTTACCATAGGACATAGCCACCCTGACAGCCACCTGCGTATAATTACCCGTCCCAGTGCCAACCATGCCCTTCTTCCCCCTGACACTGACGGTACTTTCGCTTTTCAGCTCACTCATCCCCAAACGCCGAGGACCAGAAATGTTATGGCCTGCTGTCTGCTTAACACAACGGCTTATTTAACGTTTAGCAATCATTATCTTGCAGCATAATTCCAGAATATTTTGGACACATCGAAATGACGGCGTTGGAATGTATTCCTTTTAAGCGCCTGAAAAACCCACACCATAAAAATGACCACTTGTGTAGTATGGACTCTTTCTATTGGTCTTCGATTTGCCTATTTATTCAAACATATACTTTACAAAGAATTAGCAGAACGATGTATTTTTCCAAATTTCATATTTGAGGGTATTGTAGCTTTCAGTGTTAAAACTCTATATTCCCGAGTAATTTCTTATGCATTCTGCAGTTGCACTTGCGTTTTGGAGTTCTTTAGAGTCAGCTTTATATTTTCCTTGTAAAAAGACGTTTTAAAATCAATTGGAACAAATGGCATTCTTTGTAAGCATCATTGATGAATAGACATATGCTCAGCCTCATGAATTGACGTTTAAAGATCTTAAGAAAACACATAATTAGAAATTGCCTAAACCGAAAATGACCCCTATCTCCAGTAGGACATTTAAAGAAGACGCCATTTTTTAATAAATGAGTGCAAGAAAAAGCATTAAGTTGACGTTTTCTACGAAATATATTTAAATACGCAAAAGTATCATGAGACAATACGAAAATTCATACAATGTATGTGGTCGTTTTAAGGAGTGCATTTTTTCCGGCGGGCAGACAGCCGTGCGTCAAAACGCTGGTCCACAATCTTGACTGAAATATCACGGGATTGTGTTACATGACCATCAGCGTTAAAACTCTGCCTATTTTACCTAGGCCAATCAAACACACATCGTCATCTCCGGTCAAAATTTCATACATGTTTTTCACATTTCAGTCGCACTGGATTGGCGTCATCAAACAGTCTTTTTCAAGCGCTCGTTGTCATACCGCCATATAAGCACGAACACTCAAAACGTGAATCCACGACTAAAACCGCCAGTATGGGAAAGTTTGGCTGTCAGACACATATTCCTGTGGTAGATTTCAGGACTATAGCCAAACTACGGGGTAATCTGCTTCGCTGCGCCAGATATCAAACCCATGTAATCATACGATTTGGTTAATTTTTCGATAAAAGGAAAACAAACGCACAGGTGTATAGTAAGCTTAGTATGCGCAACCAGCAATCCCGTGGTCGCAAATTTTGGACTAATAGAGCGGGTGTGCAGTTAGTGATTACTACCCAGTCGCTGTAGCATTATTTTTATTTTATAAACCTTACGTGTTGCCTCAAATGCGCCGAGATCCACGGCATGTGAAATGGCGATTCTCCAGATTCCAATGCCCATGTTTGATTTTTGGGTTTCGGCAAGGCAATCGCTGGAGGATCTTGCGTGAAAACTGCCAGGCGGGCTTTCCGATAATCCACAAAATCTGTGGAGAATTTGCAGTAATTTTTGCAACCCTCGGAGGACAAACTGTGCCAGAGAAATCTGTTGTCGTAGAATATGAGTGGGCCATCCTTTTCTGTGGGCTGTATTTAAATGAAAGGACTTAAGTAATGCGTAACTGAACACCGACGGCAAGTGCCAAGGAAATTCATAACTATCAAAATCATATAGACCATCGCCTGTTACCTGTCCGTCCATTGTCGTAGTGCAAGTTTCTAGTGAACCTTAGCATGGATTTAATTTGCCTAATTCACATACGCAGGAAGGTATAAGATAATTCCAGGACAGAGTCTAAACCAGCGTTCACAAGGAGTATAAACTTTTGGTCTTTTTATGCTGACTGTCGTGCAAAGCAGGGCTTCAAACTTGAGGATTTTATGCCTCCTGAGAATGGTGAGGAGACTAGACGGGCCCTTATTATTTTTATAATATCATCGTTGGTAAACAAGACTATCACAGTAAAGGTAAAGGAACTCATCACTTATTTGCCATCACATCAGGCGGTGATACAACCGATGCAATAAAGTCCCTAGGTTATGATGCATTTTCTCATTTGAGTCATGAAACATTGTCTCTTTTACGGAGCTCGAGATCGTTCAGCACAACAGGAATAGTTGTCTTTGGCGTTCTGACCTGGTTACAGCGCAAATGTCGGACATCTACACTTTGCGTCGGAGGTCTGGCTAGCAGTTTGAATAGATCACCAAATGACACTATGACGCATGTTACGGACCACAGTGGATTTGATGACTCTTAATAGATGTGGCCTTGATAGCCCATGTCAACAGCGGCGGACAGGGTGTTATACATTCAATTGGGAAAGATATTTGGATTTCTAGACGAAATGCGATGTCATTTATTGTTTGCGAAATTGCAATTCAGATTGTCAACTGTCATTGCTCAGACAAAATAAAAAAACATGTAGCGGTTAGTAAACTTGCCGTCTGGTTATTGCCCGTGATCCACCGCATCTGTTGGATAACCGAAGCATAACCGTAGTTCATCTTGCTTGAATTCTGACGGATGCAGTACCGATTAGAGTAAATGTCGCTGTACTTTAGCGGCTCAGATGGTGTCATCATAGACAGTTTTCGTACGACAAATGGACTAAGTATTCCCGCCAACGTGATTTTAATCATTATTTGACAAATGAAAATGAGGGAGAGCAGGAGGAATATAATCCAACAGAATAATCTTGAGCATCCTTTCGACTCTAAATTCATTCCTGAACGTTTTTAATTAAAACAGGTGCTGGCTACAATGGGGGATGAACAGGGTTACGCAATGCTGCTGTGCCTATGCTAAAATATATACTGACATGTGTTTGGCATTAGCTGAAATAGGTTCTATCCACCTGTGCTGACATTCATTCACATTAATGCAATTATTTCAATTACTGTCAAATTTGATGAAAGGCCCTTAGATGCTGACTCATAGCTTGATAAAATGAAGTATTTTTCACGTAATTTGGTGTGCTGTCTGAAATGCCCACGGATTCAAGCCTAGAATAAAAAAATTGAAAATGTTTAAAAGTGCATGTCTGCTTCACAGTAAGGACCACTTTGCTAAATTAATATAGAATAGGTCCTGAACATCTACTTGTGCTAGTCGTTGACGGGAGGACACGAAAAACTATGGAAATTACAAATTGCACAATATACCTATTTCACATAAAGATATCTTCTGATTTTTTGAGAAGTGGAAAAGAGAAAATGTGGACGGTGACTGTTTAATTTTGACAATTGAGAGATCCCGCAGATACTCATGAAATGACAGACTAAATGGGTCACCTGAAGTATTGCTGACTTGATCGAGGATATTGTAACCAATAAGTATTTATTTGTATTCATGTAATGCGCGACAGTTCACGCTAATTATTCTTGATTACATTGCATTTTTAATTTATATTTTGCTTAAAAAATTGTTATGTCTTCAGAAACATGAGTCGCATAACAATCCGCTCCGTTTTGGGTGTTTAGGCGGAGAGCTTTCCACAATACAGTTCAGCTAAACGCTCGCGGAGTCTGTCCGGCATTACCGAATGCCCTGTTTAATAAATTATCTATGATTACCTCCAGGTACGTGTTATGGCGGCCTTCTTTCAACTTTAATTATTATCATTAAGAACTTAATCAGACAGTTTTTACCATACTTTAGGTGTTTACGTAGCCTGGAATAGGTGCCACTTAAAGTCTACTGTCATTTGAACCTTACACGTAAAAGAGCGCGATTGGGAAAAGCGTTAATTAAAAGACGATTTTTATCGGCCGACCTGGAGTTTTTAATTAAAAACAGACTTAATTAGATATAATTCCTTTTGCGAATAGAAGCGAAGAGACGAGTCCCAGGAAGTAGTCTTGAAGAAGGAGAAACTATCGCCGGGACAAGAGTTTATTAGCCTGACGTTTCGGATTCCTACTCGAATCCATCATCAGAGACAAAGAAGCAGAAACGGGTGGTAGTTGCAAAAGGGGCTGCGGTATTTATAGGATGCAGTAGCCATGCTACAGCATACATATGTACATTTACGGCTCGCCCCGTCCTTTTGTTCAGGAAAAAATCTCAGGGAGAAGGCGTTATACTCACTAATCTACAAATATAACATTGGCCGTTGCAGGGTCATCTAAGGAGCTTGTGTGCCCTGATGATGCGGTTTGCAATTTAGTTAAAAGATGTTTAATAATAGTAGCGAAGGGGCGAGTTCCAGGAAGTACTCCAAAAGAAGGAGATACCATCGCTGGAACAAGAACTTTATTAGCCTGATCTATCCGATTCTCACTTGAATCCATCATGAGAAACAGAGTGGGAAAGGTGAGGTAAATTGCTCTGGTGTTGCCGTATTTATAGGATGCAGTGGCTAGGTCGCAGCATGGCTTTCGCAGTAAGCAACTACACAGTGCATCACAGCTTGACTGGCCAGATGTCTGACGCATGCCGTTGCCGTGCTGTTGCGATGCGCCTGTGTGTTGGTCAAGATTTTCGATTCCCACGCACATCGAATGCAGTCAATTTCCTGACGCCCGTATTTCGTCATCCGTGCGGACAATTTGGCTCACCGATATTGACACCAGGAAAAGTGGATATCCGCAGGCTCTCCTCGCGGCTAACTGTTTTGCCTTGACAAAGTATCAGCTGCGAATATGGAGCGGGGAGGTCATTGCGATTTTTGATGGACTGAGGACCGGAAAACAATGACTCAAGCAGTTCGCAATTCACGCGGTTGTCACCAGCGACTGCTACCGCTGTAGAACCGTCCCGCCTATGAGTCCCAAAATCGGCGAACCCATTGGCGTGCCCTTCACCTGCTCGTAGATTGCTCCGTCGAACGTAAAGTGTGTCTTGATACAAAATTGCAGAAATCGGAGTATTTAGGCGTGCAGAAGATGCTACTCTTTTTATCCTATTGGTCTCGTGGGAGTATTTCGGTAGTATTTAATGTCAGGTGCTGCAGAATAGAAGTAAAAAAACGTGACATAAATGGCGTAGTTTGGCAGCAGACTTACCTCGTTAAGTTTCTACAAGAATTGTATTGACGTACTCACTGTAGTGTCTGAATTAGCATTCAGAAATTTAAGACGCCAATACAGCCACTTTTCCAGTCCGTTAGTTGCAGTACCTTTGAGGGAGACGATGAGACGGTGGGGGAAACCCTCTGTGTACACCTTGGGAAGGTCATAAAAGCGGGCGAAGGCCATGTCCCGGACTCTTGCCATGAGTCGGTCAGCCGGCGATATTGCACCCGAGTTTTATAATATCAACAAGGTTTGACCTTCAGAATGTAGTCTGCCCTGTCCAAAACAACCGTGGAACGCCCCTTGTCCGTGGGCACGATAACGTGGTCTTTATCGGCTTGGGTCTATTAATTACAGCACATCCGACCTCGGACACCACATCATGCGGCCTGTAATCATTAAGGAGAGACGTAACTTGGTGCCGGATAAGATTCTTGGCCTCGTCCGTCCTTTCCGTCTGACTGCAGGTTTATTCTAAAGCTGCGAACACGTTGTCAGGTTTGGCATCAGATGTGTTAGATGGTGTTTCGTGCCATCTGACTCTGTCTCTGATGATGTATTCGAGTGAGAATACGAAACGTCAGTCCAATACAGCTCTTGTTCCAGCGATCGCGTCTCTTTGTAGGAAACTATGCTTGTCTAAAACATTCCGCGGGACACTTGCTCCACGATGCAACGCATTTAGTCTGACAACAAAAGGGTTGATCTCAGAATACCTAAGTGAATCGCGAAAACTAAATTTTGATCTAGTAATATTTTAGGATATTTTAAATGACGGTTGATTTTGTCCTTTGGCAACTCCACTGCATTGCTTACACGCCATGATGGTAAGGTAATTGCTTAATTTTTACACGCAATACAGTAAATCTTGGATCATCCGTTTAAGCTCCGGTTAAACTTCATTGCACTGTATGGCAACTTTCAGGCGGAATGTTGTATGCGACTAATTGTTTTATCTGAATAGCAAACCCATCATGAAGGCGGATCCTTTTCTTTAAGAATCCCGCAATCGCACGTATTATGAATCCTTATTGTATAACGCCTTCTGCGATCTATCTCGCAACTGTATCGGATGATATGTTCCAGTGAGTATCCGAAACGCCAGGCCAATAAATTTTCGCTTTCCGGTGATCGTAACTTCGTCTTCTGAACTGCTGCCTGGAACGCGCCTGCTCGCTTCTATCAGCAAAATCAGGGCTAGTCGGCGAGAATCAGGCTTTGGCAACGTAGTAATTGCAATCTTATGCGCTCTGCCTGCTAATGTTATTTTCGTCTTCATTATTGATTCATTTTCGGCGAAAATCGATGCATGTCTTGCTTTGCAATAATAAGTTGTATACAAATATTTATAACCTCAACAGCGTGCAGTGAGTGAAATGTGGACCGAACTTCCGAAATGCGTTTTCGATTAGGGAGAATAACTTAACTAGGGTTGCAACATTGCTTACCCTGCGACACTATCCTATAGTATTTCGGATTTGGCAGGATGTCGCCTTTTTAATGTGTTTCTTTGCATTCTTCTGTAGAAAACTCGCGCCATACGAAAATGACTACCTATGAAGCATGCATTTTTAGAATTGACTTTTGATGGTCATGCAAATTAAAATCTGTTTTACGAAAAAAATAATAAGGGTATTTATTATTTTACTGGTTTTATAGAAAATCAGGCCAAGTCCATATGTAATATTAAAATTACGTGTTAAAAGTTTTCGATTACGAATATTTTGGCTCGTGCATTGTCCATTCATACCTGCCAGTTTACCACTGCTCCTCATGAATTACACAACTTAGTCCGTATCGACTGCATAATTGTACGAACCCAATATAGCCTCTTTTAAAGACATAGGTGAACTATTGATTTTCCCTACGCAGAACGCATGGGCCGTGTAGCATTAAATCGCTTGTTGCTAATGAACGGCTCATCAGGCTCCTAATTATTCGGGAAGTGAAAAACTGCTTAAGCCTATATATGATCTTTCTTCAAGTATAAAAAATTAATTCGATGTGACACTCTATCAGACGAAAGAAAGGGTAAATGCCCTTGTTTACGTGTCTCTTAAAGCAAACTTTCCTAATCGAAAATCCATTTCGGAATTTCGGTTAACATTTCATGAGATCGTTTACTCAATGCGTTTTCATGCTACTTGTAAAAATTTAATATAAATGTACGCTTCTTCATTCTTCTTAGTGGACAGGTACCTCCAGGTGGCATATACTTGCTTAAGCGATACACTTTTTGGTGTATGTTAAGTATTCCGGTTTTTGCTGCAACATTTCCCACCCGCTAAGTGAGTTCCAACGGCTAAATAACAAAACCAGGTATGCTTGCAAAACATAAGTGTGTATGTTGAAATGTGTAAAAGAATTGTAGCCCTACAAAACGGAAACCTATTAGGTCACAGTGCCCGAATTAAGTATGCAACTTTCAACTAAAACGGAAACAATTAAATGTCTGTATTGTGCAGCGGTGTGATCTTTAAAATGGCAACAGACTAACGATGTTCTGTGCTCTGAGATACACGAATGTCGACAGTTGGCTTTTTGTATAGAGATGAATTCGTCAAACTTCGTTTTTAATGGCGACTTTTGAGAATGAAATTCTAACGGTTAATAAAAAAAACACGCCAATCCTACCTTCTCATAGAAATATACCTGCATTACTGGACCCCAGATTAACAGAATGTATTTGCCCAAATGCTCCTTTTGAGAGGTTTTAGGGCCGATGACGAATTCGAGACCAATTGCCAACATTTAATTTCACAGTGGAAACAATAACGGATAACATTGACGACGAGGTCACTGATCAGTAATATTTGTTTATTTAAGGCTTACAAGAGATCATACTGGCAGGACAGGTACAAGCTAAAAGACAAGACACGTGTTTTTCCGATATTCGAGTGCTACATTGCACAGTTGCGAGGACTTCAGCTAATCAGTGGATTTCCCAACATTCTCCAGTTTTTTCTTGGTAGAAGCGGTAAATTCGAAATGAATTTTAAATTTCTTAAAAATCCGATGTTAGAAATGGGTAATCCATGCATTTTTAAGAATAATGGATTCATGGTTTCTTAAAAAGCAAACTGTTTTTGATACTAAGCAGTTGGTTTCTCAAAATGACTTTCAGTCCACGTCAAACAAATAACACCAAGAAATGCTTGGTCATCACAAACATCTACTCGAATATATGCAAACGACAACTCACGGGCAGTGTTGTAGGTTGTTAAAAATCAATGCAGCTATGCTAAACACGTACGCATATTTAATGTTTTTATTGATCATATTGAGAATACAAGTGCCACATGAAACTGGAGCAGGTATGCCCGAAAACAGACACGGATGTCTGGGGGGACCAAGGAAGAACCAAAATCCCTTAGTTGTCTCAGGCAGCGAAGGACGATTGGCAAAACACGCATGTCTGGGCGTTTAACTGGCACCTATATTGTACGAATGGTGATTATCTACCCTGACGGATTGTGGCCTTCATGAACAATATTTTGGTCGCTGTTATAGACAGAATACGTCCTTTATTAAAATCACCAGATTCCTATTTTGAGGGAACCGTTTGGTCAGAGGTATAAACGTGTATTTCATTGCGAGAATGCCTTTACTTAGCATATTATCTCTACTGCGCAAAATGCATCAAAATAAAGTTTTTAAGCGTTACAATAGTTTCCAGAAGGATAGCGCAAAGTAGACCTCCCAATGCGCTAAGAAACTGTTTAGAAATAATAATCTTAGGTAAAAATTCTTGTTTTGATCTAAAAGCAACTTTTTTAATGCACGACTTAAAAGACCATGCCCAGAATAACTGTCATTTGCATATTGTGATCATTTACTCTAAGCAGACGAATACGCGCAACAGCGGTTCAGCTAGTGATTTGTTAAAAGTGATATCCCTTAATCTGAAAAACATATACAGTAAATGACTTAACTCATTAATGATGCCGGGATTTGCAAAATATTGCTACTTACAAACCAACTTACAAAAATGCGTCGACCAAAGCTTTGACGAAGCAATGAGCAAATTTAGACTTATTAAAAACTTAAAAGAGATGTTAAAATTACTGGTGCGTTTCTAAAAGGCACTAAACCTTTATTAAAATGTAGAAATTTTCAAAAACGTCAAATATGGTTGATAATGAGCAAAGACAGTTTTAAAGCATATAAAGCCTGTTTTTACAGCAAACCTTATTAGTAAAATGGTACATGCAGAATAACTTATGAAAAGGAACCGATACTTACTTGTGTAGACGTCTTAATAAGACATGGAAATAGGAACGCCCAGCTCATTTTATAAAGTAAACTTGCGCACAATTCTAGACGTGGTTATATATACCCATGCCTCAACCCCAGCTAAAACCCAAATACTAAAATAGAACCTCACACTTATCTTCACGCCTAATTCTGTGGTTAACGTTAACCTCTACAGTAACCCTGAAGGCGATTCTGACTAACATTGCGGTCAATCTAAAATCCAGCTTAAAACCTAATCCTTAGACTAACCTTAACACTAAAATTAAACTGAACACTTATTGCATTGGAAGTTGACTCAAAGTCACCCGCGTTGAAGGCAGCTCCTCTTCTCGTGTCCTGTTTAGGAGTCCACGTTAGCCAATCCTACCGAAGATAGTTCCTCAAGGAAGTCTGCGCTTACATATCTCCCACGACCGCGTGTACGGACACAAACAGCAATTAAAGGAAACCACACTTATTAGTAGCCAAAACGCGCCCTAACTGCTTGCATTAGGCCCATTCTTCGGCTGCCTCATGTAACCCCTGTCTTTGCAGTCCACCACTCTTTGTGGAATCTGGTCACGTTGTGTGTATGTGGATCGGACCGTGCATTCCACGCGCCGATGAGCAGCCACAGATCTCTCATTTCGCCCAATCACACCCTCGGCCGACTGGTCGGCACGTGCAGTAGACTGAAGCTTGGGAGATGCAGGAGGCAAAGAGGCCAACTATGTGGATACCATCTAAATGACATTATAGTGAGCTTTTCACTCTAATAGATGTAACGCGTTGACGCCAGGCCAAACGCCGTGGATTGGCAGGTCGTTAAATGACGGTCCAACTCAGACCACGCAGTCTGACCTGTGTGCATGTTTGCGTGTTGAGGGGCTTATTGATGGACTGTGTGTGTGAGGTTCAATGCATCACTCGAAGTATCCCCAAGAGTACTAATACGTGTAAGATCCCAGTAGGGTGCCCTTTGTGTTAAAACCAGACGAGTTGTGCTGAGGAGTCAAATAATGTGGACACACGCCGACGAGCTTGCTGCCTATGCCAGTCACTTCATCCAATCCTCTCATCGAGCGACTGACGGGATGGGATGTTGTTTTGATGTCTGGGAGAGGAATCAGAGTGAGGAGACGTCTGGGAACTCTGTTCGCGTAGTTCTGGCTATAAACGGCCAAACGCGCTTTTCAACTTTCACGGCTTGCTAAAATTGTTATCTAATATGCAACTAGCTGATAATATACCTAGACTCCCGACTGTCGTTACCTTGTCTTGACACGACGACCAAGTTGTTGAAGGCATGAAGACTGTGGTACGTACATCGAACTCCATAAAACACTGCTTACTACCCCTCTTCGTATTTAAAACTTATTAATATATTGTGAAGAATATGCATGCATTAATTAATGTCAGTCTTAACCACCATGCAATTGCATCGTACTGTGTTATTTAGGAATTTGCATTTAATTCGACTGTTTGGCCACGATTATTGTAACTTTTTTGAGTACGCAAACCATTCGGAAACTACATGGACACGAAAAGCGTGAAATGTTTTCGTCCAAATTTGTAAACTCCCATACAACAAATTTTGAGTAATAATGAAAAAATCATCACGAGTACTTTTTTCCTCTTTAGTAGGGCATATATGTTATATGTCCTCAAAGCCCTTCCTTATCTTCTTGCATCTAAAATCAACTCTAACAACGTATACCTACACGATATTATTGAGCTATCCACGACAAAAGCCTTGTTTGCACATTTCAATACCGGTAGGGTTAGAAGAGCACACCGATTAGAAATAACCGCAGACCCTGCTTGGTCGTTTTGCTTTTCTCTTAATGGCAACGACAGACTAAACGTCGACAAAAGGACTTTACTTATTTTCTTCAAAGTTATCTTTCAAACAGAGACCAAAAAAGAGATAGATGGGCAAGTGAATATTAGGAATTTACAGATGTAGAGAAGCGGCACATAATTAAGTGGAACGCGAAACACTCGTAGGGGAGTCTCTCCTTCAACTGGTACAACCTTTACCAGGTCAGAGGTACTTGCGCCAAACTTTATTGTGTACTCCAAGGTCGTATTGTCCATGTGTCCTGTAAGTAGAACAACCACCTGTCCCTTCGTATCTGCCTCAACTGTGGGTGTGTGAAAAAATAACGCATATTTTAACCGCTGAATAAGGGTTTTTGTTGTAAGCGTAAGGCTATAAATCGTAGTTGGCCATCCGAACTTGCAAGTGAACCCGTCAACAATTGATCTCAGTCAGAAACCTGGATAAAAGTCATTGATATGGCTATTTTTTCAATAAAATCGTGAGTTCGCAATTTGTGACTGCTTTGTATTTAAGCCAATCCAATACTTTTTTGAAATCTAGTTGTCATAGTCCACTTTATAATTTTATATTTCACTCGCCGCTTTTGATAAGAGTTCTGCAAGCAGCATTCAGTCAATATGGGTGATTTGTGTGCTGAAATCACTTGAAATAGGGTAATCGTTGGGCGATGGTAGGGCGATGGACCGTGTTGTAAACGACAGATACATAATGTCATTTTCCATGTCGTTTTGTTCTTGAATTCATGACTAAATATTGACTTGTCAGTTATATATAGTTTAATTTACTTTTGTTTTTCAAATTATCTTGCTCACTTTGTATGCCATATGGTAGGTAAGAAAAGAAATTCATAAGAAATTCAATTATTTTCTGTGTTTCTGCTCGCTATCCGTCCTTCTTTAGCCCCAACTATAAAACCATCCTCTATCGCCATTCCCGTATGACATTATCCACATGCTACTCCAAGTTGGTTGGCGTTCTACGTCCTACTGCTTTCGAGCGTTGCTCTAGGCGTTAAATAACTGAAAGTCGAAACTGATCCACACGTTTGAAATTTAATGCAATCGTATTAATAATAATGCCCTTTGTGGCTTACAATGGAACACGGTTAAAAGCAGCACTTACGGTACGAAATATGCAACAAATGGTGACGGCCCGGTTGTCCAGTCGCATCAGCATTTTGTATATTTCCTCCAACAATGGTATCCTAAAAATACGTGAGTTAAGCAGAACAGAGTCAAGCGCTAAGCGACCCCTAAAAAATCTGCATTTCTTTTCTAATTCGTAAAAGGGGACTTGACAAACCTGCACGTCCCCGTTGTATAGAAGAAGTACCCCGCGTTCCGCTGTGTCGTCAAGGTCAAGGCTTACGACCTTTCCAACGGCGACCGGCGTGGGAGGCACTTAATGAATAATCGTGTTTAGGTAAGTGTTTATTTCAGAAAAAGTTATAAAATTTGGAATTGCGTTGGTCTTCAAACCTCAACGTCAAATTGTCTCTTTTCAGCGACATATCCCAAAGATTTGATACTGGGTCCTATATAAACACTATTCACGATATTACTCTACTTAAGACGAAAAATCCCTCTTAATTGCGATAGATTAAATTTTAAATTCTAGGGACAGAATTAAAACGGCAACCTCGAAGTCTGTTTAATTTAAGGAAAGAATGTGTGCCTTTCTCTGACGTGGAATCCGGATAAACAGCGGACGTAAATGGTCATCGCAGACTTAGTTTGCTTCATCTGTTTATAGAAGCCCATGGAGATATTATATTTGGGTCTGGGATTCCTAATATACTTTTTTAAATTTCATAAAGACGCAGCAGGTAATGGCTCCTCAGACAAGATACACAAAAGGCATACTCACTTAAAATTAATCTATTAAATCGAATGGGCAATTTTTTCCATCACGTGGAAAGCATTCGACAACTTTGTGCCTAAGGTAAGAGTTAGTTAAATTAAAACACGCAAAACATGCCTGGCAAATCTTCGCTAAGGTCCCTGACAATGATTGCAGTGGGCAATTCCAAAGTGACGGCTGGAAGTAGAACGATGATTCCTGTTCCTGCCCCAGGTACTATCGTAAGAATTGCAAACTGTCTCTCTGCAATATAGAAATAATAATTTCTTTATTATTTCTCATAAAGTTGTGCGTTTTGTGTTACTAACTGGTTCGATAAGAAAATGTTTATCTAGACTGGACTGATATTTTCAATGCATTTTTGAAAACGAAAAAGTATGCATTAGTACAAACATACCAGTTAACGGTTGCCAACACGACATTCCGACTTTACAGGGGTTGGATAAGGAGCCCTGTGAAACAGTCCGACCACCCATCGTAATTGACTAAAATGAAAGAAATATGTCATTATATTTACTAGACGGCCTTTCATTAAAATACGATTAAAAGTATAACGCACCTGCGGCTTTTGTGAATACGGCCGGTGAAATACAAAGTACGAATTTGGCATTGTTTGAAAGTCGCCAGCTCCTAAAAGACTTCAAAGTTAAATAAATAATACCATACGACAATTAAACCTGAAAGTCCGTTACAATACTTCACATACCGAAAGCGGAGGTTATAAGAGCTAGGAGAGCGCCGACTCTGATCATTGACGCTAAAATGAACGTGTGTACATATTACATAGTGGTCAGGATTATTAAAGTTTTAGAAATTTATGATTATAGGTTGTTATAGCCGAAAATTAAAGAAAAAGCGTCTAACATTGTTCGAAATACAAGCTGTTTAGTGGTCTGCTGGGTTCTATGGCTTTTATATATGGGTGCAAACGTCCAACATCAGGAACGCACACCTCATGCATGCGTGAGGCGCGGTTGCGTCACAATTTGCCATAGGGCGCTTTTTGAGTAGCCCCAGTTAAAACACACTACGCCTTTATACTCCGTGAAGGTAGCATTACTTGAAGGTAAATTAATTATCGGTAAAGATTCTGAAATCCATCCGCTTAATAGTTGTTGCATTGTTGTTCTCGGAGAGAGCTTAGGGTATGATGCATACACTCGTTTGCATAATATCCAGATTTAATAGATTCAGTAAGAAGCATGTAAGGTATTTCGCATCTTTCGCACTGGATAACGACGTAAACCCACATGCATTTGCCACAGTCAAATGACCACTTACTGGCTTGTCGTAACCTACGGACCAGAACAGCCCAAGATTGCTATGAATCAAGGCATCCTTTTAGGCTTCTGCCCATTGGTGGGTACGCCATAAATGTATAGTCAAATGCATTCTGTATCATCTAGTTTGCAAAGGATAGGCATTAAGATTAAGGATGCACCCGGGAGGGGAATTAATTGGAACAAGGTGCATAATACTCTGGGCACTCACCAGGTTACTTAATTTATGACTGGTTCAAATGCAGCGTGGATCCTCTAGTGTATGGTGACCGCGGTCACTTAACTGCTGGCAGTAGACGTTCTCCTTGAGCGTTTTTTAAATAGAATTTAAAGATAACTTTGGATTCCGTGTGATGTTCACAATTACCATAAGCTGCCAGGGGGCCATTGTCGGGAGAGGAATCTCTGTAGACAGGTAATGACTCATATTGAAAACGTAACATGTCACGATTAGTAGTGCAAATTCACAGATAGATGGCAACAGCTCTTCATTCACTCTGTGTAGGATAGGCTATTGAATCTGTGTGTGCGCACATGACCGCGTTTTTGACTTACCAGCCGAGGGATTCTATGTGCTTAGTAGCCGAATCCTGCGACTTATATCTCCTTTAGCAGCGATCTAGGCAGTCCTTTCTCGCCTCTATGTAGACTGGGCTTAATCACCAGAAAGAGCCTGATTTCACCTGGGTGCGAATTCACATATAACAGGTCGTTTGAACCGACGTCTCATGAATTCAAGGAGTTTGCAACACTGAGGGGTCTTTTCGCTGTGAGCAGTTATCTTGCGTTCCCTGCCGACTTTCTGTTAAGAGTCATTTAAATGTTATGATGCTTATCAGTCCAGTTAAGTCTTAAAGGGAAATATAGGCGAGTTTGTACATAATGGAATGTAAAATGGTATTACCGGCAAAGAAAAGGGAGACTGGAATGGCCATTTCTGGCTTAATTGCCGTCGTCAGCTAATCACAGTTAATTATAAGTAATACACACTTGTGTATGCTGTGTTTGCCTAATAATTGGGAAGCTTGATACGTGTGGAGTGTACACTTATATGAGTCCACGCAGGAAGACAGTAAAGCATCAGTGGCCAGAGCATCACACGCTGCCAGCACTCTGTAACTGAAAAAAAAACTTTCGTCCATTGGTCTTTGCCGTACCCGCGCGTAGTTTTTGGGCATGAGCGCGCAAAGGTAGCGTGTCAGAGTAAGTAATGTAATCCCTGGGATCTAAGCAGCAGTCTTGACCGTTTATAATGCGGAATGTAAGTATTAGGCCACTGTATAGTTGCCTATAGACCTGGGGTACCAGGTTGAGAGTTGACAGTTTGGTTTCCTAGGGCGGTGCCCTCAGACCTTTAGTTATTTTTGTCGCCCGTCTGTGGACCTTCTCCTGGACTGTATAGTCCTTGACAGTGCAAGGTCTCCATGTCTGTATGGCTTATTCTAGATCTGGCCGCACGTAGTTGCCAAATATTTTGGAAAAGCAGTCAGTGTCAAATCCCACAAAAGCGCGCTTAATGAGTTGAATGGTTGCCATGGTCGACTTTGAGTGATGATATCATTCACAGACCAATGTCCAAAATTCAAGTTGACCTGTTACACCGCGAAGAAAGTAAGTCCTGGGGTTGATGGCTCTGCGGCTGCCGTGTTGAAGGTAAATGTACTTGTTTACATAGACCATTCCTGGCGCCTCGAGAATAATTCATGCTAAATAAGTAGTCATTTTTACAGAGTATTGTTTGTGCATGCAGTCAGATAGACGTTCGTTCCAAAGCCGGTATCCCGTGGTAACTGAATTATTATTGAATTGTACTGCAGGCCGATTATGTTTACAACCCTACTTACCTAATATTTTCGAAGCAAAAACTCATTTCGGAATTTCAGTTAACATTTCGTGAGTTAGGCCACCTACGATACATCGACCAATCCCCGAGCATGTTCAAGTGTGCCTGAAGGTGGTCTGCGTCTGTCGCATTGGGAATAACTCCACAATTTTGTGCCCTCAGAAACATGAAGACGTCATAGGTTAGGTCATTGACGCAGTCATTTATGAAAACAGAGCCCTATGGGACGCCAATCACCTCACTTACCCCAGAGGACTGTAGACGTCCGACCTGCACCCTTTGGATCCGTCCAGTCAACTAACTCTAAATTCATGCAAAAAGGCGTCCACCATTCCCACCGTTGCGCAGTTTGTTCAAGAGACGTCTGTGAGCAACGCTATCGAAGACCTATTTGAAGTCGACTTAGATTGCATACACCACACTGCCTTCGTCGTGTACTTTGGTTTAGCGTTCGAATGAAAGGAACAGATTCGTGAGACAGGACCTACTGCTTCGAAAGCGGTGTTGAGCATCGGAGAGGAAGTGATGTTGCTCGGGGAACTGCGCCAGCGCTTTCTAGATGATTTTCTTCTTGATCTTGAAACAGAAGGGGGCAAGAAGTACCGGCCTATAGTTAGTCACAGACGCATGCCTTCCACCCTTAAAAAGCAGAGTAATGGAAGGGGACTTCTAAACGGAGGATAGGCACCCCGTAGCAAATGATGATTGTAAGAGCAAGACTGACGATTTGGGCATTTTGGGGCTAGCTCCTTTAGCAGCAAGGCGGGAAATGCATCAGGTCCCGGGAGATTGATTTCGTCAGATTAAAGAATTCCTTCCGCACTATTGCCTCAGCGAACAAGGCTGTTTCAATGGTAGGCGTTTCTTCGTCTTCACAACCTGGGTGGGTAAAAAAACTGGATCACGTGTCACGACAGACCGGATGAACTGACATATATCCAGCCTTATCCTTGTCATCTGATATTTACTTGGGTTCGGCTAGTCGCAGCAATTAAATGAAATCTTTTTTCCGTCATGCAAAATTCAGGCCAGTGCACATTGCCGAACGCGAGATGATGTGCGGGCTTTTGTCGTGCCGGTCACCAGCGCTCTCTCCCGCCCCCAATCTTCTTGACGTGATCATGACACCAGGTCCAAGTAGGAAAGTTCGGTGGGCACTGCCTAAGTCTACTATCACCAAAAAGAAATGGCAAGTAATTCACTGTCCCTAATCTCGCCCTGTTTTCAAGGACATGATGGATATGGTCGGTAAGGACAATCGAATTTCTGGATGTTGAGGGAGTTGTTCAGTCAGTGATGTGGTGTAGCACACCAGACGGGAGCGACTTCTGTCCTCAGTTTTGCATTCAGTATTCAGAAATTCATTTGTATCTGAACACGTCCTCGGACAGAGAGCGGGGCGAGAATTGCTTTTTCTGATCATACTCGCGTATGCAACCAACCACAGCACGGTCGCAGACTCTGAGGAGCAGCCGATCATTAGGGCTTTTTGAGTCGAAGGCTCTTTCACTTAAAGCAAATGACCACGTAAACGTTCATTGGTTAATATCTTGAATATTCGTCCTGCAAGTTTATAACCAAAATTTTTCTACTTTTTAACATGAGGAGATACCCTACTAGCAGAACAGTACTAGCTAAAAGCCCAGACGTGTGCGTTTCGCAGATATAATGGCGCTGCAAGACACAGTTGACTGGGGGGTTCGGTTTGGAATTTCACAATAGTTATCAGCAAATGCTAGAACTCCGGAGGCATTTGCATCAGGGCGTTTGTCCATTCAATGTCCACATCAATGCATGTGTCTGTTTCACGACTGATGATGAGCCGTTTAATAAGACAACGTATCAACATATTTGAAGCGCAGAAGGAAGAAGAAGGAACAGCAGAGATAGAAAAAAGGTGTTCATTGTTGATCGTAGGTAGTCAAATACCTGTAGCGCATGTCGGTGAGTATGTTATCTCTATGCTCTACAATCATCAGTAGAAGACGAAGAACACGAGAATGACAGGGCATTTTTTATACAAAAGCCTGAGTTGTCCTCCAAGGCAGAAATAGCCGCGGATAAAGCCAAAGCTGATCATGACTGCGTCCAGCCATGCCTAAGTACCCTTCCGAGGGACACAATTTAGTTTCTCTCCCCCCACAATGACGCCTTCCCATAGTGGCCTCTATGGCATCGCCATCCGTCGAGATTTGCCTCCTACTTGTGTTCTGTTTCGCGAGGATCTGATTCATCTTGCGAGGACGAGGCATGTGTAGCAGGTATACCTAACAATGAATAACGGAGTTAGTATGCCTCCCGAGACGATATAATAAGGGGAGAAGGATCGTCGGTAAATCAAAGTATACTCGTGAATTTTCAAGTCGCTTACACCAACCCGTCGTCAGACGCAATGAAAAGTGTGAGGGAGATAATCGCACTAGGGAGCTGGGGGACATCAAGGTTACATAGTCAAAACAGACGTCTGTGTGTGGGGGTGAAGAACGTGTTTGTATAGGTGACGGACGTTAGGGGAGGTGTTGAGGGTTTCACACATGGTTCGCACTGTGGGGAGGTGCTGAATCCGTGATATTCTACATGGCTGAACACGGATTAGCAGCTGGTCTTAGGATGGGCGCTAACCGGTGAAATGTGAACGCAAACCTACGCAAGGAGCGTCCAAGTCGACATGGCGGTTAATAATATTGTTATTCAAGTGCCAAGCTTCTAGAAACTGTCGCAACTGTTTGTTATTGGCGCTGGAGGTCACTGCAGTCCACCCCCAATTGAAGCGAGGATCCTAATAAAGGGCGTGTGTAAACACGAGTAACAAGGGTCCCGTCGGTGGATGGCCAACTTTTGTTCGTTAATGCGGGTCCCAAGCCTTCGACCGGCATGCCAAACATAAACGGTAGAGCAGTTTGCACATAGAATGCGGTATATGATATTTGTTCGCTGTTCCTTCGGTATGGGGTCTTTCACTTGGGATAATGTGATGCGACATGAACACACTGGTCTGTGGGCGATAAAGATGCCGAACTGACTTAATTGTCCAGCGATCGCTTCGGAAATTCTCGGCATGTAGGGCAGGGAATATAATTTATGTTAGACCCTTTTTCCGTTAGAGTCGACGTTTTGTTCTTGTCTCTGGCGTCTGCGACAATTTTTCCTACAGCTCACCGGGTATCCATTGAGTCAGAAAAAGCAATGCAAGTAAGCCAGCCAGTAAATTGGCACTACTGCAGTAACGATAGGCCCTGTTAAAAAGGATTGAACATAACTTCTTTTATGGGCTTCTGAGTAGTTACTCGAATAGATCAGGATGGTCTCGGCGTCAGAGCTTCTCCGGTGAACGTTTTTTGCAAGGCCGCCGTCAATGAGTGCTTGTATGCTCACGTCTAGGAACGGGAGGGTGCCTCCTTTTGCTCCCTACCGTGATTATCTCCCTCACACATTCCATTTCGTCTGGCGACGAGTTGGTCTAACCAACTTTAAAAATTCACTAGTACACCTCAACTGTCCGACGAGCTTCCTCCTTTTATTATACCTGACAATGCCTCCAAAGGTCGCCGATCTTGTCTTGACGCCAGACTCAGTTGGATGAGAGAGGAGAGTGTGCAATGTGTTCTGCGCAACAGTACTTCCATCATAAATTACCTTACACACAAGCCAACATTTGTTGTTAGCATACTACTGTGAAGCACCAGGCGGACATCGTCGGAGATAATGCTTTAGCGTTCACATACACGGAGCTTGATCAGAGGCAGAATGTGATGACGGTGGGCTGCGTGAATCTCGACATCAAGGCCGATAGAATTTGGAAAATACAGTGGCGCTTTCTGTGTATTACGGGGTCAGTCAGCGGTGCAGCGTATGTTGCCCGGGTCGTCAGGACATCATGCCACAAACAAGTGACAAGCGAACTTGTAGCAGCCGCTCCAGTCCCCCTATTCTCCGGCTCCGTTTTGTCGGTCGATGGCCGCGACAATCGTTGCCAGGCCGCTGACACACAACCACCCCCTCTACTACAACAGGATATGCTGGTCGAAGAATTTGACTACTGTTCAAAATGACTAGTGTTCCCCATTCAGTTGGGTCGGTAAAGCCAAATTACGATTGGACGCTTTGGTCGTGTTCGCACACACGGATAATTTGGAATATCCGGTGGATCCAGTCGAATCTAACCAAACGATATACGGGGTTTCTCCGAACTGTTCAAATCACTAATATGACACGTATCCGCAGCATAAACAGCGGCCGCAGCAGCCTAACCTTTATCTATGCAATACTCTTACTCAATAACCACTCCAAGTGTGCTGACTTTCTCCAATCCCCATTTTAAAACCACATATTTTTCACGATTTTACCTACTATCAAGACGTTCCACTTAACTTCCGATCTAACGAATTGTTGGCGGAAATTCTCAACACCGTTCTCGAATAGGAAGGCTTTCTTAGGTGGTGCTGCAATACCGCTTATCATGTGACATAATTCTACGGTGTTTCGGACTTGCCATGAATATACCTTATAAAAAGCATGCACGAAAGCATGATTTCTTTCGCTCGTTTGAGTGAAAATAATATTATTTCTACAGTTTATATTCTAAATGCTGTTATCCTGTGGTTCATTCAGTAAGTTAAAATTTGCGATTAGACGATGAGGTCACGTCTGCACACACGGATTATTTCGAGTGCGCAGGTGGGTACAGTCGAATTTAGCCGAGTTATATACCGGGTTTTCTTGAAAGACCCAAACCATTATAAGAACAAGTACTCGCATCAGCGGAAGCAGCATCGGTGTTAATCATGTCATACGAGCTGCTATTCTGCGAAGAGAAACACCTGTTTATCGCATACATTAATATTTACGACACTCCCCGAAGACTTCTGACTATGTGCAATTCCCATTTGACAACTACATGCTTTGCTCAGTTTGTCCTTTTATCAACAGGTTTAACTTAACTCCCTCAGCATACTAAGGCATACTAAGGATTTATCGTGAACAAGACAACGCCCTTGAATGTCTCAGTGGAGCTTCGTTTGACTTTATGAAACAATTCGGTTATCTGTGTTCTCTTACTAAGGGATGCCAAGCTGTCTAAGGACAACGTTGACTACGCATTTCAAGCAACCCGATGACAATTTATCCAAGCTTTTCTAGACCTCATGAAATTCGGGGAAACCTCCCCTGGGCGTTTTATAGCAGCCGCGGACTCCGTGTAACCAGGTTACGTTAGTCTAAGGATTATGTTAGCACGAGTAACAACTGTTGAGTCATACTAGTCGCATGTGAGCATATAGTGCACTGGAGAACTTTTGAGGTAAGGGCTGTATTCCTAGCTCACCCATCTTCTCCCAAATCCGGATGCCAACCAAACTAGGGAAAAAATAACACCTTGAACACCCCAACCGACCAAAATGAGATTACTGACAATACAGTTGTTAAGTGGTCGTCCTATAGCTTACTGACTTGCCCCAATCCAATCCTGCTTTTCACATATGTGGTTACTGTAAAAACAAGTGCAGTGCGTTTAATATGATCCGATTCAGGCTACGTCTTGTGCACGTAACTGCACAGCATCTTTGCAAAAATATCAGCAAGCTTCCAGGTAAGCCTGTATTTAACTAACAGGCTTCTGAGTCAGATTGTCAAGGCAACAAATATTTCGTTTTTAAAAATTCTACGCAAATACATAAAAAATAATAAGATTGGGCGTTGTAGCAGTAATTCTGAAAGCAGTCAAGTCATCACAACGTGCAAACCCAGCGTTTACAGCCGCAACTCATACAGTCTTGGTGATACTGTCATAGGTGATGTAATGCAACAAACACAATGACGGAAACTAAGATAACACATTTTACACACCACAAATGTTTTACATTTTGCTTAGTCCCTCAAACCTTTCCTACAAAGATCCTTTTCTGATGCAGAAAGTGTGTCCAGCCAATTACACTCACGAATGCGTGCAAAAATTATCGTCTTAATTTATCCAGCAGATTCGTACGCTAATAGACTCCGTTTTTCCACTCAAACGATGACTAGTTTATCTCCAAATTTTTTTAACTGAACAGAGCTTGCGCAGTGCAAAACGGGTTTTTTGTGTCAAGTTAAAAAGATAAATCAGGTTACTTTTAGAAACTCCGCCGTCCAATCGATTCTTTAAGGTCAGATCAAGACATTTGTATGATTTCGCGTTCTGAATTGCAATAATGAAGAATAAATCAAAACTTTTGTTTAAAAGGGCTATACGAGAAGCGGGCATGATTCGTCCATTTAAGATGTTGGGTTCCTGCGGTTCACCTATAAAACAAAATCTTTTGCAAAGTGCTTGATCGTGGCCTTTGTATATCCATTGTCTTTTGGGTTAGACACGTTCAAGACATCATGGAAAAATCATAAAAACACAATGATCAGTATAATTATTTGGTTTTTTGACTTTCTTCGCAAAAACGGTGAGACGCAAAACATCGATTACAAAAACGCAAATGCTTCACAAATGAGAATGTGGTGAAAGAAGGACGAACATCCATCATCAGCTGTTTCTAAAAGTAGAAAGGAGGAACTGACTCGAAGGACACAGTAGTTTGATAGAAAGTAGGCATCGCATCGTAATTAACACGCGCTTTATTTAAACAAATATGCCAAAACGTTTACTCCGTATTATTCCGCGACAAATGCTAATCACCTTGAGCAATTTTCAAGCATAGGCTATAGGTTTTTTGACAAATTGAAAACGGCAATTCGAGTAACGCGAGTAACGACGGTAATAGCTACAGTATGCGACTTTACTCATGCAACGTGATGCTAAACTATGCTACGATCAATTTCTGGCACCGAATATGCTGTGCATCTTATTACTTCTCCGAACCAGTTCTCGAATATGTTCTTTTGGCATAAAACATATGCTTATTTGTAATTTCAGAAGTCACATTGTTTGCGAAAGTGACCAGTAATCTACGTTATCTTGTATTCGGGCAGTTTTCTACGTTAAATACTATTTTCGAATAAGTGTGCTTTCCTGTTGGTATGTTGTCAAACAGAACTTGCCGCACTTAAACTTGACTTTTTTTCAAGTAAATCAGATAGAGTAGGGTGTAGGCAAGGTTATTTCTGGATAGCCAGGTAAGCTATCGGTGTTAAAAGTTTAGCCTTGCACATTTATGTGATTTCTTGTCCTAAAACATAGTAATTAAGTCTACCAGCAATCCTTTGCTTTAACGTTCCCATATGGTATTGGCCTCTGCGAACACTTAATAACTTATCGCAAAAATACCCCTTACCAAGTGTTTTATTAGTATAAAAACATACGGTAAGATATTCTGTGTACAGCCTAGTTTCCGAACTTACGTTTTATAGACAGTAAGCAGGTAGGACATAGCCAGTTTTAGAAATATCCTGATATCCGTATGGTCACACTTTTGTGCTTTTATAATCATAGAACGGTGCTTACGGCTGCGCTTGTCTGTTTGATACGAGTATACTAATCACTGATCGGCCTATACGCATGCGACGTTATGTCCTTGTGAGTTGACAATGATATCATTTATGGCCGGGATTTCTTACTCCGGGAAACATTTGTGTTGAGCAGAATAGTGGAACGTTTAAAAACTTTGCGTTATCACAAATGTTGATCCTCCATTTTGCCAACAATTATGAGACAGCATATGCCAGTAACACAACAGACATAAAAGGATTGTTTCATAAGGTCGCGAGCGGTTCCCTCGGGATATCTAGAGGCCTATTTGGAGAGCGCTGGCTTGCTCTCGAAAAATCATGATTATGACTAAAATGACTTTTTTTCTGGATTACTAGCCATCGTCAGCCAGTCATACCCAGTCCCGAAGTCTCTGTCGGTAATGGTATTCTGCCCATATCATGCACCACTGTATGGTTGCTGGTAGGGCTCAAGGGTGAGCCCTTAGACGTAGTGGGATTAGTGAATTCCGTAACACGATCGGAGGTCGCCCGGCTACCACGTAAACAAAAGTATCGCCAGTTATTTCCTTTTGGCACAATGGATTCTCGGAATGAGTAGCCCGGCCATAAACCATAAACTTGCGCCTCACTTTTATGCAATCAATAGGAGTGTCTCGTTCAATTTCCGAGCAAAATTATTGTACGCACTCGGAGTCAATCTTTTAATATCTTTAAGTGTCGGTTTGAAAGCCTATACTTGAATATCAGAAAATGGCCGATGAGCCACAGAAACAGTTAAAACTGCCTGTAGTCTCTGTAAATCCAAACAGCTTAAGTTTAACGGATTAAGAACAATACGCAATGATACGACGGTTTCAATTAGCAATGCACCAGTTGGGTGGTGAAAAGTGCCAATTCTCGATAATAACATCAGACTGTGAAAGGTTTGCTGTCCATCATCTCCGGGAATGCGTCTCTGAACGCCCAAACTACGCACAGTGCGTTAAGGCATGTTTTCTCAAGTAGGCTACTTTTGCACGTTCCATCTTGGTTGCCATCGCTTCGTCTCATTCCTAACGTTTGTGTATACCACCGATGTGTTTCTTCGTGGATGTACTTCAAGCAAATCAGATATAGTCTTCCGGTTCTGAAAAGCAATCAAAAACGTCGATGGTTCAGGTACTTGTTAAATGTACTTGCGGGCAGAAATTCCACAAAAGAAATGCCAGACACGTGCTCCTTGACACTGACTTAGACATTTCATTCATTGACGACTTCATTTACTACTTGGTAAACTCGGATGGCAGTAAACTAGCAAACGGAAGCAATATGGTTCAGCGACCGTGAATGGTAGATTTGGGGGAGGCGTATTCAAAAATAGAGGACTATAAATAACAAAGCTGCGAAAAAACGCGGACGCTCCGGCCGAAGTGAGCTCGAAATAATGTTTGCTTTGTAACAGTGAGCAAGGAAATTCCCTGCTTCAAGCTTAAATAGTGATCCAGGGGGAAATATAACTTTTGCATATCCTGGATCAATTGACGCCTAGCATTAAGAGGCAAACAACGCCAATGATAATCGCTTACGACGAGGACTGCGCGCAAAACGAACGTTGACTAGATTTTGAGTCGGTTAGGAGTGAGGCAAAAAAATAATCAAAACTAACCCAAGGGTGTTGATTGATCCGAGTGCTTGCTGGAGCATAACGAAGGCAAGAGATGAAAGTTTAATAAGTGAAAGTTCTCTTATGCACACGGTAGGTGTGCCATTTCATGAACTGGTAACCGGAAATCTGAAATGTGATTTCAACATTGAATATTTCACACAGGAATGGTTCTTATATTAGCTCACAAACATAACAGTTTTAGGACGCAGCCGACAGGAATAGATGAGGACCCTTGAAGTAGCCTCTCTCCTGTCCCCCGCAAAACACAACAGTGCAAAAATGACTAATAAATTAGCATGATCATTGATTTTCGGTGTCCTTATCAATTAAATTATCTTCTCTGAAAAACATGCGCAAACATATGTTTCTTGTACACGTTTGGCATGAAATTATGTCCTCTTTATATTTTTTTCCTAAAGAGAACGTATTTTTAGATTTCACAAAAGGTCATATTTATGTTCTTCTTCTTAAGGGCGTAGAGCTTGTAGTCTAGAAGCCCTGAACGCAAGTGCGACAGCAGTTCCAGTTTAAAATGATTTGGAAATTAAAAATTCTTTTTGGTCGAGTGACATTCTGTCTTTGACGATTACATTTGAAGAGAACCCACTTTCTAATAAACGAGCGCAACAAAAATAGTTTCACGCATGCTTCCTATAAAATATATTTAAATTTATAGCTACAAGTTGTCGCATTAAAAAGAGTGAAATTTAAGCAGGTGGCGAACGTTACGTTCGTTCAAAAGCCTGCGACATGATATAGGAAAAATATCTTGGGACTAGGCTATATGACAATTAGTATTACAACATTACTTAAGAACTATTTTGGAAATAAAAATAACACATATACCGTAGTCTCCTTATTATGACGACTAGGACGTTCCACCGCTTGTAAATCTCATTTCACAAAAGACCAACAAAGGTGTGTGAGATAGTGCCCTTACTGGTGTGAATCAAACGGGACTGAGAGTTTTTCGACATTGGAAAGTAGTTCGTTTTCTTTAAATAGGATGCCTACTGAAAAAAAAACGAGAAGTATAGACGTGGAGCTTACTTATTTGCACCGCGAGGGACGCCCAGCCGTTAAGCCGATCTTCAAGTGTGAGACAGTTTATAACTGTATATGAGCTTCCGTTTTTCTGCCAAATTAGTAAAATAATAGATAGTGTCATACGTCTGCCCGGAAATAATTTGAATCTAAAGGGGCATCGAAAATCAATGTAAATGTTAGCATTACTTGATCAGTCATTTCTCCCAGTGTAGGGTATGCAGGCAGCCAGAAGGAATTTGTTCAAAATCTGGCATCTTGAATTAGCTGAATTATCTCAAGGTTACGCTGCGTGGCAATTTAAGTTGCAGCCCCACCTACGTATGCTTTTAGAATCGAAAACGCATCTCAGAATTTCGGCCAAAAGTTCATGATCTGACATATCTGCAGTGATTTAATATCCTACTTCAGAGTAGTCGTTTTGTTATATCGAATTCACTTATATCACAACGTACGAAAAAAGACAAATATATTACTTTGAGCAGGAAGAGGGAGGAGGGGCAATTATCGCCTCGCCGGTCTCTCAAATGCCGCCACTGTTTATAGCATGACATCCTAATCTGCTCCCGCAGATTATGCCTATGTTTTTGACTCCGTCCATGCTGCATGGTGGTGGGTCAGGGAAGCCACCTAGCTTTATTCAAACATACTACTAACAAAAGGGGATATGAGGCGATGTGAATGACGGGGAGATTTGCTTCAGTAATGTCACCTAGGATGTCCATCTGGGTTGTGGATTCAAACCAACAGCTTCAGGTAGACTTCGAAAGTTGTCATTATTAATCAAGATCGGACCGTAAATTTAGTGATGCGTCTTTAATTAACCTATGGGCCGCATCCGGCTTTGGCAGCATAGTGATCCGACGAGGTAGAGAATCCTATGTTGGGCAAATCTGCGATGCAGTTCTCATCGAATTCCCGGCTATCGTAAGTAAAACTAGCGTGGATGAATTGAACGCACTGGTTCACGCCGTAAACGCTCATGAATTCCCTTTGATTCAGCAGACACTTATTGTCATCTCTTAATTTATGAGTCAGATTAACTCTAGCTCGGTAAAATCTGGGTATTCTTCTAAGCTCTGACTTATCATTTGGTAATATATGAAGATAGTCAGATGAGGTCAGAATTTCCTAGTTAAATAAGGATGGGCACTGTGAGTGAGGGTATGCTAAAGGGAGAGATTGTGGCAGCTAGCCGTCATGAGCGGTCTGCCGTCATTGTTCAAGGCCTCGCTGCATTGGGTCATTCACCTCTTTGCAGTGGGCAGTTCTAGACATGCAGAATTGAACTCACACAACCGACAGCTCGGACATACCTAGGTCCGCACAGTCGCGGCTACCCATGCGCCACTTCAAAGCGCCATCCCCCGCAACCAGAAAAACAAGCCACTGGGACACCATCCCTCGGCAAATGCAACACACACTGACTGAACACCATTTGAGCTTGGTCCAAGATCCCACAAAAGCGGCTGCCACTAGTGCTCAAGGGGCTCTCACACATGACTGGACGCAGCCAACACCAGCCCTGGCTTCACCAGTGGCCACTGTCGCCTGAGAGGACAACTCCGGCATCTGTGCACAGTAAACTCCTCATTCTGGTGCTTTTCGTCTTCTCCTTCCACTCTGGCAGAGCTGGTTTTGCATACTTCTAAACGCACGGGGTCTTCTCATGCGTATGACGAATGTGGGTCAGCATCAACGTAATCTGCCAAATTCTGAATGTGTTTCTATCTAAGGATAGTTCAGATGTGTTGAGGTATTCTCATAAACACGTTCCTGATCACATTGCAAACGTAGCCTGTGGCGTGCGGGAGAGCGGTTGTTGAAACCTAGCTGGCAAACCCTTTCCGTGAAATCTGTGTAGAATGGGTTTATACTTAGAAGGTGATTTGTATATCGTCTCCAAAAAATTCCAAGAAACCGTTTGCTCAGGCCGTTGACGTAATCGTCGATTATGTGCTTAATATTTTGTGGTTGGTCGAGTCCTTGTTCATTGGCAGACTGTTACACTCAATGATTAAGAGTTTTGCAAACGAATCATCGTTTATCAATATTTCACGCTGGTTATGATAGACCGAAGACAGAAAATAACTTAACAGAGGCCACTCGCGTCTGTTGTCACCAATCTTTCACTGCGATTGTCGAGGCGTTTGGTTACACTGCTATTTGAATAACATATAGCAAAACGTCCTAGAAAAAGGAGTCAGTAGGCATTCCGTGAGTGGTGCCAAAAATGTAATTGGCGGGACTCATGCCAATTAATAAATGATTTCAGTTCTGTGTCCAGCGAATCGAATTAGACAGTATTCGCATGACTTACGAAATGTGTCAACATCTTCAAACTGAGCGCATTCAAATTTGATCGACGATTTGAAGTGATACTCCAGGTCAGACTTATGTGTCGGGGATGAACGACGCATGGTACTGTTTACCCAGCACTACTTACATTACGTTAACCATCCCTCTGGAAGTTGACAGCGCCAGTTGTGGTCTACTGGGACTTATCTTCAACATACTGCCCTGTTCTCAACGCTTTTCATAAGCGTTGGCTCTGGATGGGGAGAACGATTACCCACATCACTATTTTGTGGTTACTAACCGACGGCGAAGTCCATTGAATTCTAGGCTATTCTTGAATAGTTTGTGAATTAACATCGCGTTTCGTGATTCACAATCGACTGTCAAAAATACGGGTTTGGCTGTTAGTGTCGGTCGGTGTATGTAGCGCCTCGAGAACCACAGCTGGCATCATGCGATCAGGAAACCTGCACGTATCCAGACTCTGGGCAGGCCAATCACAAACATGCTCAATGAACTTTCCAGCCTGACGCTGACTGGTTTCTGCAAAATGCTTATCCAGTTCACGCCAACGTCGTCCTGGCGAACAGCCACGCGGACAGATCCAGTTCACGGCCGCGGTCCGGCGTCTGCGACCAGCACTGGACGTCTGCACATATTACACAACTCTTTTTATTGGTATCTTTCTCCTTCTCCGCTATAAAAAAACTCCTCAATGACTAGTATGAGGATCTGAGTACGCTGACAACAGTAGGTGGACTAACCCATGAAATGTTAATCGAAATTCCTTAAAGCGTCTTCCGTTCGAAACGATTAACTGGGTAGTGTTTTAAAACTGATCATCGCGCAAAATAATTCTATCATAATTCAGTTATTTCAGGATGTCGGTTTTTGACAAAAATTCTTTCTAGCCTTATGCAAAATCCATACTTCGTGAAAAATGACTACCTACTAAGCATGCATTTATCTCACTGGTTTTTGATACCCTTAAATATGCAATTATATTTCATAGAAAACGTGCATAAGCATATTCATTCCTCCTTTCGTTCGGTAGAAAATGACGTCTTCTTCCAATTCTATTTTCGAACGAAAAGTATAATTCGGGTTCCAGAAACTTTCCACTTCTTGAATAATTTTAAACTCCACATGCAGTTGCGCTTGCATTCAAGGTTTACAAACTACAAACCACATATTTTCTGCGTATTAAAAATCGTCAGTTTCTCTACAGTATAAAGAGGAGACGATATAGAGTTCCCAAAATGCAGCAGTGAACTTGGGTCCTAATGGAAACCTTACAGGCCACAATGGTAAATGCAGAGATGAGACGTTTTATGTGCAGCCATGTCATGGTATAAAAATTATCATAATTAGACACTTTTTGAAAACTGCATTTTACACTTCCTTCACGAGTAATATTGGAAGCAGAGGTCATTGTCTATCGAAAGAGCAAAAGAATGAATATTTTATGCGTGTTTCTTATGAACTATAATTGGACTTTTAGAGGCATCAAAAATCAATGAGACAAATTCATGCTATTTATGTAGTCATTTTTTACGGAGGGTAATTTTTGCATGCAGCAGAATGGAAGTTTCTTCAATAGCCGGCATCCTGAGGTAACTGAAATATAATAGAATTATGCTGCCGCTGACTAGTTTTACAACCCTACTTAATAATTTTTTTCGGAACGAGGTTGCAATTCGAAATTTCGGTTGACATTTCGTGAATTAGTTAATCTACTGTAATTAGGCGCTACGTGTTTCCCCCCAAATGTATGAGACCTGGTAGGTCTACCATGCGTCCGTTTTTTTCACTTGTCAAAAAATTGCCGTAATTTATTTCCCTCTTGTATATGATATTCATGTTGTGTTTAACCAACGGCCTCCCATCTCCTTCATCTACTTCTGAGGCTAAATATACGAAATAATTAAAAAAATTGTCAATATAGGAAAAAAGCAACATCGAATGTCCAGCCGATATTATTACTTCATGCACGAAAGAGCGTATATTTTCATGCTGTATAACCACCTAGATAAGGAGTGACGCATATATTTGTAACAAATGCATGCTCTAGCCGGTAGTTTGCTTTTCCTCACAAAGGAAACTATGGCGAATGTTAAGAACAAAAGAGGGCAATGCGTCTTTTATTATATCCTTCAAAAATGTCCTTCAAACAATGGCCAAGAATAAGATGATTCGGAACGAAAACGCATTTTGAAATTTTGGCTGGAATTCCATGAGTTAACTCACCTACAGCACTTAGGCGCTACGTAGATACCCCAAAGTATGAGATCTAGTCGGTCTAACCTGGGTCTGTTTTTCCTCCTGTCGAAAAATACTCGTGGCTAGTTTCCTTCTTAAAAATGATTCTTCTGTTGTATTTCCCTAACGGCTTCCCATCGTTTTCATCCTCTTTCGTGGTGAAATGTACGAACAAACTGAAACCCGTCAATATATGAAAAAGCAGAATAGAATGTCCAGCCGATATTATTACTCCATCCACGACAGAATGCATATGTTCATGCTGAAGAACCGCTTGGGTAAATACGAACGCAAATACTAGGGATAAATGCATGTTCTAACCGGTGGTTTGCCCCTCCTCGCAAATGCAATTGCAGAGAATATAAAGAACAAACGCGGGGACAATAAAACATTTATTTTTTTACTCCAAAAATTTGTATTTCAAACAAAAGCCAGGAGTGAGATGATCGAGTGGATGGATATTAGGATTTTACAGAGGCGGACAGGCGGCTCTCCGCTAAAGGAAACACGAACCACCCTCGGTGGATACTGTCCTTCAACTGGCACCACCCTAATCATGTCAGAGTTACTTGCGCTAAGTTTGAATGTGTATTCCAAACTTGTATTTTCCAGGTGTCCCGTCAGCAGGACAAAGGTTTGTCCCTTCGCCATTTCTTCAACTATCAGTGTATGAAATAATACGGTATATTGTTACGTTGGAAACAGTTTCTACTATAGGTTTCCTGGTGCAAGTTATACCATGCAATCCGCAAGTCGTAATAAACCAACCAACCACGTGCTTCAATTAGAAACATCGAGTCAGGCATTTGTGGACTAATGCTAACTTCTATTGTGGACTTGGCACTGGTTGTTGGTTTATGCTTAAGTGAATGGAAAATGTATTCGCAACCTAATTTATATGTCAGGCTCTATTTTCCTGGGGATGATTCGACGCTTCTATTCAATATTTCTCTCAAAATATCTGGTTAATTTGGCAACGTTTGTGACCAAAATCACCTGATGTAGAAGGCACACTTTTCTGTGCTGAATAGTTAAACACAGAATTTGTGTGCACCCGTGTAATATAGTAAAATTATATAAAAATGACGTCTTTTGTGGCTTACAATTTCGCCTTGTTACAAGCGTCACTTACGGTATGGAATATGCAACACGTTTTTGCCGTTTTTCGGTCCCGCTTCATTAGATTTGTGTATATTCCCTCCAACAATGGTGTCCTGTAAAACCCCGATATATGTTAAACAGAGTCTGTTTATATTAAACGACCTTATGTTAATACCGAAATTCAATGTTAATTCATAAAAAGAAACTTTACAGACCTTAACGTCCTCGGAGTAGTAAAGAATTACTTCTCGTTCCGCTGTGGTATTTAGGTCAAGATTCACGATATTTCCAACGACGACTGGCAAGGGTGGGACTGCATAGATAATAGTGCTTAATATATTTTGGTTTTAAAAGTTTTAAAAAATGGAATAACGTTTGTAATCAGATTTAGAGGAGCAACCATTGGGTTGACCTGATTTATTAAACGAATACTTGCGCTCTTTTGAATTTGACCCACAACAGATATGCTGTCTCATGAAATATCTACCCATAATTTGCAGTGCGTTTTATGTTTAAAAAAATACGCTAGAACGGTTGTCAAACTATTTATCGTGCCGCATATTTCCAGGATGTTATAGTCACGCCAGGATGCCGCCTTTCGATAGAAGCTCTTTTCGACCGCCTGCATAAACGATAATCAACAAATACTGACAGTTTATTTAGCATAGGGTTTCCATAGATTTCCGGTTTTTTATAAGATCAAATATATTGTGTACACCACATGCACAAACCATTCCCTCCTTTACCATGTTAGTAGTCAATTTCGTCTTTTTCACATTTTGCATTTAAACAAACTGCTCGTTTGGTTATAGCAACGTTTTTAGTTAACAACTTTATAATGGTCATGCAATTTCCAATCACACAACATCGCATAACCAAGTTTAATTTCTTGGCTTATAAAGTGGACAAAATAGTCTTCATCCGTTGCACACTTCATGGGTTCTATTTGAATTGGTCTTGACAAAGTAGAGAAGTAAGCAAATTTCTTCCCAGAGAAAGTATACAGCTTGCACTTTTGAAACTTATAATGTAAATGTAAAGGCATGTCGGGTTTGGAGTTATTTTGAAATCAGAAACGCTTCCGAGAGATTTTCTTATAGCAAGCATGCATGCAATACTTCTCAAAAATGACTAGTTGAGTAGTATGCATTTTCCGATTAGATGTTTGGCTCCCTTATAAATGCAAGTGTATTTTGTAGAAAACGTGCAAAAACGTCCTTTTATACTCTTTTCGTAGAAGATTCCGTTTTTCTCACACGTTTGACTTGAAAAAGTCAATCTCCTCATGGCTATGAAATAGGATCTACTCATGCGATTATTTAAAAACCGTACATATTCCAATCATGCAGTATTGCACCAGCACGTATATTAGTGCTACTTTTAAAAATAACCTGCATAGTCGACATCCATTGCACAATTTTGTGGGTCCTATGTCCCTTTTTCTCTTACATTGAGAGCATATATTCGGCACTTTTGAACATAGCCTATTATATTTTATTCATGTTTAATTGTCCACCATTTGTCAAGTCAATGGATGTCAGTTGTCAGTTCGCCGCTGCCCTTGCGGATATAGCGTTTGAGAAGGGTTTAATTGTCCATTGTTTGTCAAGACAATGAATGTGCAGAAGCGAACGATGCATGAAGTGCAACACACAAGTGACTGCCATGGTAACAATTAATGCTTAATATTATAGTCTTACTGCTGTGGAATACACGCATAAATAATGTAAGAGCACCATTCCTAGTATTTAAGTTGGCAAATTAGAGAAATGTGGAATGTACCCTGCAGATTTTCACCAACGTCCCTGACAATGACTGCAGTGGGCAGTCTAATTCCGGCGGCTGGAACTAGAATAATTACGCCTGTCCCATTCTCTGGTCCGACCGAAAGATATGAAAACTGTTTGTCTAAAAGACAAGAATAGTACTCTGATTAATATTTGGCAGAACGTGATGAGTTTCATGCAACCGTCTGTTTCGACTGGAAAATAATATCTTAGTTAAACTCTGGCAGTTTCCATACATGCATGACTGCACTAACACAAGCCTACCAGTTAACGGTTGCCAACAAGAAATTCCAACTTCACAGGGAGTGGATTGTGAGCCCTCTGGAACAGTCTGACCCTCTGTGGTAATTGACTACAATGAAAGAAAAATGTCAGTGCATGCAGTAGAAGGACCTTTCCTAAAATGCCATTACAACTAGAACGCACCTGCGGTCTTTGTGAAAACGGCTGCATAAAAGCAAAGTACGAATTCGGTTCTGTTTCAAAGTCATCGGTTCCTAGAAAATAACGCAAGGCACTTACGATTAAGATCAAAGTTTATTTGCTAACACCGTGTGGTAAGCACGATAGAAAGCTAATTTTAATTCTGCACGTACCAAACACAGAGGCAAGAAGGGCGAGAAGGATGGCGGCTCGGAACATTGACACTAAAACAAAGGATTGCGCATATTGCATGGTGAACAGGACTGTTAAAGTTAACAAATTATGGCGTTCCATAAATGAAACCTATGGGGAAATATCTCACTTGATTTGGAATATGAGCTGTCTTGGGTCTGATGCGTTTTGCTGGCTTTATATCTGCACGGACCTTCAGAATTAGGACACCGCACCGCATTCGTTCATGGAGTGCACGTTGCGCCACAATTGGCACGAAACGCATTGTGAGGGGCTTCAGATAAAAAAAATCAAGGCACCTGTTTACCCCGTGAGGTCGGATATTCTCTGTGGTAATTCAATTAATGATAAATAACCTAACAGTAGTCTGCTAAACGATTGTCACATTTTGGTTTTCGAAGGGATCTTAGGGTTTGGTGCTTACTTCCGTATGCACGACATCCAGATTAGTGAGACCCAACTTAAGGCATGAAAGTTATCCTCTATCGAATGCACTGGTATAAACCGAAAACACACATATCAAGTTGTAATAAATGAATGGCCGCTTACACTCTTACCTTGATATACGAGTCGTAGAAGCCCCTGACTGGGGATTCAGTTAAGCTCTGCTCCAGGGGTGGGCAAACTACAAGAATAATTATATGTAATAAACATCGGTTAGTTAACAATTGATAGACATTGTGGATGAGGATAGGGCGGCAGCGGGGATTAATTGAGGCAAGATGCAGAATGCTGAAGGCATTCAACAGATCCCTTGGTTTATGGATGTTATAAATGCAACGCCCATCCAACATACGTTTGTACGTACAGGGCCAACTCATATATGACGATATCGGTCACTTAGTCGCCGATGGTAGACTTCTTTCTTGCGTTTTTGGATACAGAACCTGCGGGGAACATCGGGTTCCGTAAAATAGTCAAAATTAGTCCAAAGTACGAGAATGTCATTGCCAAATTGAGAATTCCATAACGTTTGAGAATATTGGGATGGTTTAGTTATTCCCGTGGACAGTTGCGGACTTACTCTACAGCCTCAGTCGTTTAATCACAGTGTCTTATTTTGAGAGCGACGGAGCCGTGACCCAGTGGCAGAGTGTTACACTCAATGACCGCGGACCCCGGTTTCTAATCTGACACGACCCACGCCTGACTTCCGTTATGGCTTACTGATGGCAGTTGATTATGACAATTCGCTTCCCCCTTTTCCTTGTCGGCATTCAATTATCAATGATCTTTCCTCTACGACTGTCAACGTGTTTGGTTTTTATTGTACATTACAATAAAGTTGTGCAAAACGTCAATAGACAGTTAGTGAGGCGTAGGTTAATTTACATCAGAGGAGACTGTTCTAGGTGATATCTGGTTTTGGCTTTTCGTCCAAGGAATCAAAGTAGGCAGAATTTCAATGACACATTACATGCATCAGCATTTGCAAACTGAGCTCTTCCAAATATGATCGGCGATGCAAATGCTACTCCACATTGTACTAATGCCTTGGAGGTGATCGATGCCAAATTCTGTTAGATAATACTACTGACTGTATGTCAAAATCCCAGTGTCTTCTCAGGCGCAACGCCGTTTGCGGTCAAATAACATCTGAAAGCCGTCTGCGGTTGTATAGCCGCGAGGTCTCGAGCTGATTTTTAGGTGCAGTGAGCCTTCAGACTGCCGATACCTGAGTCTCCATCTCCCAACTGACAACCATTGATCCTTGCTCTATTCCCTGATCGGTGAGTGCTTGTCTGTTATAATATACAGTAGGTGGAGTAACGTGTGAAATGTCAAACGAAACTCGTTTTTGTTTTGAAAAAAATAATTAAATAGTGCTGTAGAGCAAATCATCGTACGCATAAAGATACAATAGTACACTTGCCTAAAATGCCGGCTTTTGAACAAACTTCTTTCCGGCTGCATACAAACACTAAACTCTGTAAAAATGAATACATATGTGTCATGCAAATTTCTCGTTGGTTTTAGGATTCCCATAAACATTAAAATGATTTTAAATGGAAACCTTCAAATTAATATACATTATGTCACTCAATCGGTAGCAAATTACGTCTTCTTTAAATTTTGTAGTCCAAGGAATGGCTAATTTGGTTTTAGACTGTTTCTTATCATGAGATTGGTTAATACCGCGAAACTGCCGTTTATAAAACGTCATGTCTCTGCATCTGCCACTGATGATTTTAAAGTTAACAATATGTCTCAAATCCACTGCTTAATTGTATGATTTCCATACGGTTTCCTCTTATTACCTTGGAGACGTGTATGGCTTTCCGTATGCGGAAAATATATGACTTGTAGGCTTGAAACTTTTAATGTAAGTTTAACGGCAGGTCGTATTCAAGATTTATCGGGAATCGAAAACGTTTTTGAAAACCGAATTATACCCTGTTTTTAAGTAGAAATTTGGAGAAAACATAATCGTTTATCAAATAGGTAAAAGAATAAATATTTGTGTGCATGAAATATAATTTAATTTTTAAGGGCATCGATCATCTAATGGATGTGATCCATGCCAAATTCTAGTGGCCTAATTATGTATGCAAACTCGTAATGTCTTCTCAGACATAACACCGTTTGCAGTCAAATAACCTCTGAAGGCAGTCTGTGGTTGCATAGCCGCGCAGAGTTTAACTGTTCTTCAGGTATCCTAAGTCTCCCTGTCCAACTGAATTTGTCTTCCTAGCGCTTCATTTCATTTATCCAAGATCTGTGTCACCTGATGTCTTGTGCAGATTGCTCATTTCCCAAAAACGCATACTGGCCTTGATCATAAGTCCTACTGTGCAGATAAATAAAGAATTCTCTGAGCGGTTGACGAAACAAAAATAAACAGATCAATTCAAATCGAACAGAGAGCAAACAAATCACACCCCTGTCTGGATGACAGATACAGAATTCAGGAATGGGTGGAGACTGTCGGTAGAAGCGAACAGACTGGTTCCCGAAAGCAGTTTAGAAGAATAATAAATGCGCTGTGATACCGCTAGTCGAATGGCAACAGACGAATCGAACGGATGTGGCATTGACTGTGACTTCTTGCATTCTGGCAGCAAACCCTTTGAGATCGTGAAGTGCCCCTACATAAGACCTCCTGTTTCTGCCTTTACTAATTTTGCTTGTATAGCCTACAACTGATTTAAATATACTGCTAACTTTTGTGAACCCCATATAGTCTCTTCTGTTGGCGTGTAGAAATGAATGATTTTCCGGACGGGGAAATATGCAGCTTGTTGTTTGGAAACTCTGAATGCAAGTGCGAGGACAGGTCGGATTGAAAGCAGCAGTAGATGCTTGAAGAAGAAGAAGGTGGGCTCACCGGAACAGGTTTATTAGGATGCTGAAGTTTCGAAGAGCTTGGTCGGCTCTCCATTGTCAAAGCGTGAGTCACCACTCCGCCGGGGGGGAGGTGACGGAACCAGTGTCGGGTGGTCGGTCTGGCATGCATTTCTCTACGGTGTTAAAAGGAAACCATATGAGCTTCATAAAATTAAGCTGCGGATTTGAGCAATATTGTAAACTTTACAAGCCACATTCGTAAATGCAGATGCATGACGTTTCATGAACGGCCATTTAACGGTATTAAAAAATCTCACAATCAGAATCTTTTTTAAAACCGAATTATTCTCTTCTTTTGAGTATGACATTGGAATAAGACGTGAATTTCTACCGAATAAGTAAAATAATTAATATGTTTATGAATTTTTTCCATGAAATGAAATTGAATTTTCAAAGGCATCAAAAATTAATGAGAAAATTGCATGCTACTTAAGTAGTCATTTTTTGTAGAGCATAGATCTTGCATGCAGCCGACAATAAGTTCTTTCGAAAGCCGACACCCTGCGGAAACTTGATCATTTTAGATTTATACTGCATCATGATTAGTTTTACAACACTACTTAATGTATCTTTTCGAAACGAGAACGCATGTCGAAATTTTGGTTGACATTTCATGAGTTAGCACAGCTACTGTACATGGATATAAGCAAGGTTTTTCAAAACCGAATTATACATTTTGTGCCGGTATTAACTCCTAAAAGGCGTATTTCTCTTCCAAATGAGCGAAAAAAATGGACATGCTATGCATGTTTTCTGTGAAGTATGTCTGCATTTATAAGGATACCGAAAAGCAGTCAGTAAAATGCATACTTCACAAGTAGTCATTTTTGCAGGATGTATTTTTGCAGGCGACAAAATGAAGTTCATCCAAAAGCTGGCATTCTGAGGTAACTGCATAATCGTGGGATTATGCGGCACGGTGATTAATATTACAACCCTACCTATGCAATATTTCCAGTAGAATAAACATTTCAGAATTTCGGGATACTATTTTGTAAGTTAGCACATCGGCTGTGCGATCAGATCAAAGAGAGCCGATGGGTTGCTCAATGTCTAGCCTGGTTGTGGAAGTGGTCTTACAAGAGCTGAAAATGTCGCCTTAAACCACAAGATACCTGCGTTTTGACGCTGCTACGTGCACAACACGTTCGTTATAATTCCAAGAAGTAGACTTGTGCAATTTCAGGACTTGCTTAGCGGCAACTTCCCCGGCACTCATTTCACAAGGGAAGAAGAGAGCTTAAGCGGACGGTACGGAGGGGAGACCTACTATCTTTGATCGCTACCAATACCCTGGAGGAAAGCCACGAATTAAACTTCGCGAGCAGGCGGATAGTAGCACGAGGCAGCAGCAAGACGGCGCGAGGACTGCTGAAGGCCATCATTATACACTTTGATATACCTCCCTGCTACGAGGCGCTTCATTCTCGGGGCTACGACGCTCGGCTTAATACCCAGACAAGAATGTGCACCTTCACGACGTCGTGGGCTCAGCCTTCTCGAGAGCACTATCACCCTTTACTCCTATCCCCTCTGTGTTTCACTAGGAAAACTTATCTTTCAATCCTACATTTCACAGCCTCTTATGATGGTCCCTTTTACGAGACTGAAGGTTGGGGTTACTGTATGCTCTGTCCCGTCGTCTGGTTAAAAACTCGGTATGCTTCAATATGGCTTCGTACTGTGTGTTTTTACTTGGCATTCATAGGCAGTTATGTCACTTGTTCCCGGAGTGAAGTTACAATAAGTACGTGAGTAGAATAGTTGTTTAGATAATTTCGATGTTTTTGCATAAATGGAGTCGTTCAAGTCTGCCGAAATGGGCAATTTGAGTTCAGCATCGCAAGTCAGTGAAATAAAATTATGAAATGACTAGAAAGAAGGTCCATCTGAAACGATTTTTTTCTCACGCAAGGTATAACGTCCATGTAATTGTTTTAAACTACTTATTTGTTTACCCCCTGTTTAACCAGTAACGAATAGGTCCACCAATAATATTTCGCCCATGAAAATAGAAGCAATGAAGGGATCAAATTTGGACAGGGATATGGTGGTGCTGCCAGCTAACTAGAGATGTACAGCTGTCGTGGTGAAACGCGCCGAGTAAACCTGGAAGGCAGAAGCCCTCCACTAGGAGCAACAGTCTCTCTAGCCCACACCTTGTTCAGAAGTCAAATCAATGCTCGGTCAGCTGACCGGACTCCTGAACCAATTCAGACGCCGCATTGTGATACTGCTAGTCGAATGACAGCAGATGAATCTTACGGATGCGCACCGACTGCTTTCTACGGATTGCCTAAAATTAACAAGCCCAACATTCTCATTCGGCCAGTCGTTGCCTTGAAAGGCGGCTACACTTTAAGTTAATCCGAATTGATGACCCGAAAAAGTAAATTTCCTACACCTGGCTCGAGGATGTCCATTGATTCGTCCTGCCAATTCCTAGCTGCCACATTTGCAAAACGTGTCCGACCTCATGGAATTATGGTATTCTTCGACGTGGTTTCGTAGAGGCGTGGACTTCTAAACCAACAGGTCGCGAGTTCGAGGCTCGGGTGTTCCACACTTCGGGCTTGGGTATGGCTGGCTGACGACGGCTAATAAGCCAGAAATGGCCATTCCAGTATCCCTTGTCTTTGTCGGTAATAGCATTCGCATTTATGTTACGAGACCTGGCATAGAATGTCCTATGCAAACAGCCCGAAAAGAAAGACAATGTCACTGGGAAGCCTCCTAAAATCGATCATTTACTGCCGTTCTCTCACTTTTGCCATCGAACCTTTTAGGGATTTTTAAGATCGTGAAATGCCTGTTGATAAAACAGCATGTTTGTGTCTTTACTAATTCCGCTTGTCGAGCAAACAAATTGGCTCAACTTCACTGCTGAATTTTGGGAACCCAATTTTGTCTTCCCTTAATAGCATGAACAAATATAAATTTTCGATACATGGCAATATACAGCTTGTAGTGCGGGAACTCTAAACACAAGTGTAATGGATGGTCAACTTCAAAATTATTTAGGAGTAAGTAATTTTTAGAACAGAATCAAACCTCCCTTTCAAATATACAATTTTATAGATAAACATGTTCATCCGCCAAATGACTGAAGGAATAAATGTTTCTGCAAATGATTTCTTTGACGGATGGTAAAATCTATATGAGCAGAAAATCTGTCCGATTTTTTCCAACATTTGCAAATGCAAATGTAGTCAATTGTCAGATCGCCAGACTATTGCATGATATTTGTGTTCAAACACGAGATTTGACGGTTTAACGCACCTTGTCCATTCGACGGGTATCGCAGCGTTCAGTCCATCTATACTTTACCTCCAAAAAGACCAATGAGGGCTGAATTCCAACGTTAGGCAGTTCAGATTCATGCAGATGACTATTTCGCATTAGGTTTATTTAGTTGGTTTGATGGACCATTGAGTAAAGATAACAATATGCTTGTTTTAGCTTCAAAAAGCGCAGCCATTTCGGAAATTGGCCAGAATTGTGCGGTAAAGATCAATGATATTTGCGGAAGAAAGAGAACCTATGCGGACCCGATATCTATTTTTGAAGGTGTTGGACTACAGTGTTTTTGGTTGGCCCTTCGTTGACTATCACTAATCCTAGCAACCGGAGCAGTGGTGCACATGCCACACTGAAATCTCTAACAGGTGTAAGACTTAATTTTAAAAATCATTGGGCATGGAGAGCAGTCAGGTAGTTAAAATGTATTTGAAATAATGTTAGACGGAATGCACACGTCTGATTGTAAA